AACTTCTTTTGGAATTCCCTTTGCACATAATTTTTTTTTTACTTCAGATCTCACTACCGCTCTTGCTTCTTTAAGTCAAGAATGCAGGAAAGATGTTTGCATAAAGCATGCTTTGGATGTGCGGATAGCTTGGTCTTTAAATAACTATCACAGGTTTTTCAAATTGTATGAAAATGCTCCAAAAATGTCTGGCTATTTAATGGACTGGTTCATTGACAGGGTCCGTAAAAGTGCCCTCAAGCTACTTTTAAAATCGTACGTATATCCTATTCTTTTATTTAGAAAAATTTATTTAGATTGCTGTAATATATTCTTAAAAATATTAATGTAAACCTGAAAGTAAACATTTTCAAAGTTTTTTTTTTTGTTTTGTTGGTTTCAAGTATTTCACACAATATATGATAAGGTATGTATATTTTACACTAGGCAATTTGATGTTATAAATTTTAACTGTCTACTTTATTTTTAAAGGTTTTAATTCTCCTGGTGTTGCTGATTCTTACGGACTGATCTTATATTATTTTCAGAACTCCTTTTAACACATCAATACATATAAATATTTGGGGGGAAGTCTGTTACAAGTATTAAATGAGGATGTAATTTAATTTTAATCCTTACCACCAGGAGAGTTATAGACTGTTATGCTAATCAATATTCTCTTTCAGCATATTAAGTAAGTATTACTCATTTAATTAGTATTAAGATTATTGTTAATAATATTATATGAAATGAGAAAGTAATTTAGTAATTACGTAAGAAAATATTTATATATATATGTGTATAAACATGACTTAATATATTCTCCATTTTCTTCTATTTCATTTATTTTGCGACATCTGCTCCGGCTGCTGTGCGGTTGTGTTCATCAAATCGATTACATCTCCTTGTCTCTCTGTCCTCACATTGTGCTCTTTTTCGATATGGTTGGTGTATCGCCAATGTATAGGTATCGTCCATTCTTACCCATCGAGTTTTTTCAAAAAGAGCTGGCCTTCACAGACAAAGGGAAGTGCTTGGAGTTTCTTCAAGAAAAGGGGGTCACATTCACAGATCACAATAATACAGTTGATTGTAAAGCAAATATGGCTATTCTGCAGTCTTTATAATATCAGCCAGCTACCTGGTTTTATCAAAATCTGTGATACTGAGGAGTATATAGGACATTTCATACAGAGACAATTATTTGTGCCCCCCTTATGAGGGATTTTCATACTCTTCACGGATGTAATTGTGTGCTTCCTTTTTCCACATGATATAGTTATATAGTGAAAAATTTTGAAGTTTTATTGCTAGGTCACTCAGAACTGTGGTTAAATAGATTAGTCATAGTAGATGGGTATATTTTTTTTTAAAATTGAGAAAATTAGTCTTAATGTTATGATTATCACTGAAATGGGAATCGCCTCTTACTTTCTGTGTCAATTGTTCAAGTTTTGCGATCACAGGGATTACAATGCATCCTCGCTTTGGATCCTTATTTATTACTGGGTACCTACAGTTGACATTGTCCATTTGAAGATGCTCCAAGATGAATCAACCGTACTGTCATCCAAACATCCACAAGCTATGCCAGGAAAAATTTAACACACCAGAATATGATGTCCACAAACTTTGTAAAGAAAAACTCAACAGAATTATTGCGTCTATAATTTTCAAGGTTCTGAGATGGGAACACAGTCTATATATTTTTCCTAATGATTGGGCCGAGAATTTTGGCTAACAGAGCTAAAAGATGTAGTTTGGGATGAAGATGGGAGAAAATATCCACCACCAAGCCATTACCCATTACATTTGTCAAAAAGAAAGATGCATATATTTCATACCTTTAAGATGTGGGGAAAAAAGTCATCAAAAAGAAAGTGTCTCTCCTTGAAATGTAGCTGATGAAATCATCCAACTTGTCATGGCTCCAGCTAAAGTACTATTTTTAAACCTGACTTCAAGATCTTATCTGCAATTTGAATCAAGTGCTTTAATTTTCTGTTAGTGAAGCTGTTACAGATTTTTGTCTTCCTCAAGGCCTATCAAAATATTACTTAACAGAATTTGAAATCCAACATCTCTAACGCCTTGACCTCAGAATATGATGGAACCCATATCCTTTACTTGAGGAAATGAAATTTGCTGATAAACTTGGATCAAGAACAAGTCATGTTATGGATTACGCTAAATTAGCAAGAAAAACACCGGTACCAGTAATATTTTGTCTTAAGTGTCAAGCTTGATTGAAAAGTGATTGAAGACCTGATCAGTTTTTTGTTAAATTACTGTTGGCAAGAGAGTCCAAGATTTTATTTATCTCTAAAGATTTTGAGAGAAAAATAATCTTCGTTGATCACAGCTGAAAAGGGAATTAATCTCCTGTGGTCCAAGCAATACAGATTTTGATTTTTAGCCAATTCATCATGAAAGAAACTTTTAGACAACCATTAAAGCTGCAAAGAAAGAACCACCCTACGTAAGCTAATTCATTGATGTGATGTCCACCCTTACAGTTGTAGAGACCCATTTAGTTTATGGCAAGAGATACAATCTTGGTACGAAGATAATCAACATGTCAAATACAATTTATCTTTACAAGACTCCCGCCAACAAGAAGCTAAAATTAATAAAGAAGATTCTCCTTTCCCTAATAGCACGTGCTAAAAAAAAAATAAAGAGTTTATCTGCAGTACCTTCACAGATGTCTGGCTCCTTGGTGTTATGTCTATCCATTGAATCTGAAATGGGACCTACTCTACAACTTAACTGAAAGACTCTTGAAACCCTCTCCAAGCAATACCAAGAATCTATACTTAAAATTTGAACTGCAAGGCCTCATGTTAGAAGTTGCAACCTGCATCCAGTGAAATAACCCACCCAAGTAATAAGATTCTCCTTTCCCTAATGGCATGTGCTAAAAAGTGTAAAAGAGTTCATCAGCAGTCCCTAAACAGATGCCTGGCTCCTTGTGAGATTTGCTGTTATGTCCATCCATTGAATCTGAAATGTGACCTACTCTAGACCCTCTCCAAGAATCTGTATTTTAAAATTGAACTGCAAGGCCTCATGTTACAAGTTGCATCCAGTGGCATATCCCACCCTAAGTGATATTTATCCCTTCACATAGAAAATCAAGATTAAACAGCAGTGAGAGGCAGTCTCGTTTCAGTGTTTAGTCGTTAGTAAATGTCGTTAGTGATGATAAGAATCAGAATTGCAAATATAGCATTATAGATTTAAATGTCGGGAAGGGTAGTTAAGGACTCAGAGGAAAAAAGATGTGACATTGTCAATTGAAGCACGTGGCGTCTACAGGATCTTCAGACCAAGCACGGTGCGTCAGCTCCTGGGACAAATTAGAAGCAAGACCAAAGAAGAGTTATGATGGCCACCATTTTGTTTATTTTTTATTAATATGCTAATCAAACATTTCTATTTTTGTTTCAGGGTCCTGAGTAAATAGAAAACTGCATCAACTTCGTGTATTGTTTATTTTTGTGTGTGTACTTCTGTAAACATACTATTATGTTCAATTGATGCTTTGTGTATATCTGGGTGTATCTTTATTACCAATGTTTATTCTTTTTGTTCCTTTTGAGTTAGTTTTTTTTTCTTTTTCAGGATCATTTATAAAAATTTAAGACATTCTTTGACATATTAATTATATTAACTTTCATTATTGTGGCCAGTGGTGGATTCATACAAAACAAATGACAAATTTGATCTTGCTTTGCATTTTTATAATTTTTTTTTTTTTTCTTTAAAATAAATCAGGGACTGTTTGAATCCACCACTGACTAAGGCTGACATCTTTACTAGTGTACCGGTAATAGGTTGCAATGACTTTGACAATATGATATGGTATTAACCAGAGTCATATTACTCATATGTTAATCATGATTTGCACATACGTAGTTTATTTAGGACTAATTGTTTTGTCTAAAAGTTAAAACTTGTATGAATGGGATGTTTGTCATGGCAAGCTATATTTATCTATAAATTATGTATCATATATGTGTCTGTAGTATCTGATATCTTTTGAGAGGAGTTGGACTTATTCATTTCATGGACTTATTCATTTCATGGACTTATTCATTTCATCGACTTCATGTGTAATATTACAAATAATTTTTTTTAACAGATTAAAATTGTCCAAATAAAACAAAACCTTTTTCATTAGGAAAGCACCAATGCCCTATACATGTTAAAATCACTGTGGTGTATGTGTATATTGAACAAGTAATGGTGGTTTTTTTTTTTTTTAACACCATTTTATGAGGAAAGCTAGAATGTAAATAAATGTTCTTTACAATAACATATATATTAAATGTTAAACATTTGAATCATCCTACATGTTTATTCTATACAAGGTAATAATGCAATGTCTTGTCAGGTAAAGTTATTTAAAACAGGTCAATGCTTGGTAAGTTCTAGTGACTTGTATTAAACACCATTGATACATTGTGTGTTTAAAGTGCTGCATTTCTTTCATAATTTTATGTTTTGGTATCAACAGTTAAGGTACGTATAAAATTAGAAGTTGAACCATTTTGAGACATTTGTATGACATTCTACTTATTGATTTCATAAAGCTGTAATTGTAATGACATTTTATGTAGGGACTGGGCTGATGCACTTTGTAAGATATTTTACAATTTAATGAGTGTCAGGACTTAATTTATTCATAATTAAAATCTATACATTTTTTAAAGGAAAACATGTTTCCCCCTATCTTTTAGCCTGTTTCATTTGTTGATTCATGTGTTATGTCTTACTGGAAGTGATAGATTATCTGCTGTCTTCAAATTTAAAAATAAACTTGGTTTTGAACCTTTTGTACATTCTTTTCATCTTGTGTATTTTGTGTTGTAATTTGTCAGTACACACCTTTCCTGTATGTATGTTGATTATTCCAATAGAATTGGAATACAAATTTCATTCAAATAACCAGAAAATGTCATTCTCATTAGACCATTTAGCTCAAGATTAAGTGTAACCTCACTCACAAAGATGTAAGTTAGGAAATCCAACAGATTTATTTTTTAAGTAAATATTTTAAATTGTTAACTCAAATGTGAAATTTATCTTATTGCAAATGAAAATGAGGACTTTATGACCAAGCTTTACATTGCGGAATGTTATAGAAACAATTAACATCAGCCACTTTTGCAGGTTGCGGTGTAAACTAACACTGAGTTTCGATACAAAATCAACCAAATTATAAATGGACAGTTGTGAAAACTAATTTAATGATAAGGCTTTTGGTCTTTTCATTTATGTTAGTGTTAGAATGAATAATTCAGTAATTTGATAATCAAATTTCCAGATCTTTGAATGTTGTCAGTTGATATGACACTAATTTCAATCACACCCAGGAAACACCACATATCCCTCGAAAGTAAATATCCTCTCTTGTCCATCAGACATCTCTCGAAAGTAAAGAGTTTCTCTTGACCATCGTACGTTTTTCCCATCCAGAGAATCTTGATGGAATTACCTTAGGTAGATTACTTTGTGTTGGTTTACTGGCCATGATTTGTGAGAGTATACTGTTGCCCTTATTCACTTTGTACCTGAACACCCAAGGCAGATCTCTGTTGGATGAAACAGTACATACAATTTTAATGCGTAATGATATTTAAACTTAAAGCAAACGGTTTATTATTTTACGATAAAAATATTTATGAAGTCCAAATAAAAATTAGTATTAATAAAAATTAACTTTTAATATTAAAAACTGCTTCCACTAATGATTACTTGTGAGGCACTGCCCCTCTTACTATTACTGCCTATGCTTCTGATTGCACGCAAGCCAATGATTCTCACAAGGTTGAACTTTGCATCATGTGATGTCAATACACATTGGATGTAGCACAGCATGGCCCGCTTGTGGCAGAAATCAAATGGACAACCAAATGATTTTGTGGTTTGTCTGATTATTGTTAATGATTTGAGAAAAGGCAGCAGCTCGTAACAAATGTTCTAAACATCAAGTGTCCGTAACTATCAGTTTGATCTCATGATAATCGTTACGATACAACCAAGCATTATTTCTGCGATATAATTTTGTAATTGTGTTTTAACATTTGGATATTTTTCAATTACCTTTTTGGCACGACCTTCTTTGGTGGTGGTAGTGAACCGAGGTCGTCCCATTTTTCGCCCAATGAATGGATGAGGCTTGAATTATAGACATGATCATCATCCACTCTTTGCACATCTTCTCTGATGGCGTCTGTAGAGTGGGATTCATTAAAAATGGTTACCGGGTATTTAAAATTTCATTGAGACTGCATTGGAGTTAAATATTTGCCCGGAGTAGTCACAATTTTTCTGACCATCCCCCAATTTAAATTTTTTTTTTTTTTTTTAAATAAATTAACATTCTGACTTTAAGTTAGTATGCAAACATCGAAGTCACCAATATGGACATGGTATGAACTGGTCAAGTCATATTTAAATCTGTATTGACTGCATGAACTGGTCAAGTCATATTTAAATCTGTATTGACTGCATGAACTGGTCAAGTCATATTTAAATCTGTATTGACTGCATGAACTGGTCAAGTCATATTTAAATCTGTATTGACTGCATGAACTGGTCAAGTCATATTTAAATCTGTATTGACGGGCAATGACATGTAAATGAAATCACACACATACTTATATATAAATAGATATTCACTCTTATTATTAGTTTTATTCTTATTCTACAAAGAAAATATGTTGTTTTTTCCTTCAAATTCTAAGCTTTTAAAAACGTTAAATTATGATACATTTATAAATACATTCTTTAAGTTAAGATATGCTTAATTTTAGTGATCTGATATAAACATATACAAATAAAGCAACCGTTTCACTAACTTGAAAATTATAAGAATACTTCAGTAATGTTTCACTTTCTTGAAATCAAACTTCGGAGACGTGTTTATACATAGTTGGAAGATTATAAATTTTCTATCGGCCCCATCCTTTGCCCACAAAGCTAATGACACATAGCTAATGTTATAGGTCCTACTATGCGATATCCATTTTGAAAACTACATTCTAACCGTTTCTGAAAGCTCTTCCTCGCCGATGATCAACTCCACCGGCAGATTTAGCCCAGTTCCGAGTAGATGAAAATGTGTGTGACCTGCTTCTTGTTGACTTGTTTTCATGTACCCTAACGTCTGACCGGTGGGTCTGAGGCGTAAACTGGACATAAGTCTGAGGTGACTGGCTGACAGTCCTTGGATTTTTTGCTATTCGTGCCGGATAAATCTTGATATGGAAATTGTGATCTTCCAAAGAGTTGGGCTGTGTAAAGAGAAGAAACAATGTACGGCTAGAATGGTTATATCACATGGGACCGCTGATACTCAAGGTAATGTGGGTAAATTAAAGCAACAAGACATAAAAAGGATGCATAAAATTTGAGGTAGCAGCTTTTTAAAAAATGGAGCAAAATTTGTTTATTCAAAAATTAAATGTTAAACTTAAGATTTTACTTTCCTGGAATTAAAAGATTTTAACATGTCAATCAATTTATCAGAATCAAAATTTCTCACCAGATCACTTTTAATTGACAAAATCGCAAGACCCAGCTGCATGGACTGTTTCATGGTAGATTGAAAATAGTTTCAGTTTTAAATAACTCCTCTTGTATGAAGCCACAGACACACATATCGTGAGGAATAATTGTAGACTCAATGAGAGGATTGGGACAAAATCCCAGTCCTGCTCTGGTAACACCCTTCTCTGTCTGGTGACACCCTTCTCTGTCTGGTGACACCCTTCTCTGTCTGGTGACACCCTTCTCTGTCTGGTGACACCCTTCTCTGTCTGGTGACACCCTTCTCTGTCTGGGGACAACCCTTCTCTGTCTGGGGACACCCTTCTCTGTCTGGGGACAACATGTTCTGGCGGCAGCCTGTTCTATTTGCAAACTACTCTGCTTTGTCCGGTGATACCTTGCCCCGCTTGAATCTGATCTGGTGGCACCCTGGCCTTAAGTAACCGTGTTCTTATGGCACCATAAGTTTATGGCACCCTGCTCTGGTGACGCACTGTTCCGATGACAATCTCTTCTGGTGTCAACTTTGTCTGGTCTGGTGGTGCCCTGAGTTCTGGTGACACCCTGTTATTATATTAAATCAGTTCTTTTATGAAACTGACTACAGCGAACCCCGTCGAATTTCATATTCCTTATGGTATCACACCATAAGAGGGTGTCACCCGGTGCGTTCCGAACCCACCAAAGTAACGCCACTGATTTCGCGGCGCCCCTGTGAAAAGCCACGAATCCCTCCCCAAGACGATCCGGTGTACATTCTTGGAACCATTGAGCTCCACCAAATTGATAACGGAGAAAACCCGCGACACATTTTTTTACGTCGACGTCATAATTGGCTATTATTATTTTTATTATTATTATTCAATTATTTTGGTTTAAATATTTGTGGTGGAATGGGTTTGAAAGCTGATCTGTACGTCATGTCAGGAGCGAAGCGAGGTTTTCATTTTATTGATTGATTTTTATTTTTATTTTGTTGGGGGGGGGGGCGGGGAGGGTCGAACATTCTTTTCTTTCTTTTTTTTTTAAAAATGCCCACACACCCAAATAAAAAGTTATTAAACAAATAAAATTTGATTTTGAATCTATGGGTTTACCTTTGTGTTTGCTACACTTTAAAGTCAAGCACGTGGGGAAACAGTAGATATAAATTGTAGCCTATAACTAAATTGTGGCGTGTCATGCCAATATAATGGCTATCGACCTGATCTGGTGTGCTTTGTTATGTCGATGTTGTTAGTGCCACCCGTACAAACTCAGGTAGATTCGAGGCATTGAAAACTAAATAAATAGAGCGTATCCAGTTCGGGTCTTATTGCGGACCACTGCATTCAGTGCTGGCCTGTGCCTGGGCTCTCAAGGTATAAACATGTTTTGTGTTTGTTATTTTTCATTCATGTTCATGCATTTTACCAAGCACAACTACAAAGAGTTTATACCTAAAGTCTAGTTGTTTTTTTTATTTTATATGTTTTATATAGAGTGACAGAACCTAGAATATTCATTAAACGTGAATATTAAAAAAACGAAAAAAAAAAAGTATCTTTATTCTGTCGGTCGGAGCCCTATCCTTTTTTAAATGTGGCCCCCAACAAAGTTTTTTTTTTTTTGTGTGGTCCAAATCCATTATTAATTATATCAAGAGACACGTCTCATTCAAATAAGTTTGAAACAAAAATATGTTCCCTATCGACCAATTCAGGAACTAGCCGTTCATGTCGGGAAATGGCCAATGTCGCTGTAAATATCGACCAAAGTCCGATATTTTCTTTATTTTAAGATTCGGACGTTCAGTTTGCGAAACTGTCTTAGGGGATCGTAATGGTTCAAGTGATTTCTTCGTCTTTGCTCATGACACGCATGTATTCAGTTGTGAGCAGTTTCACGCGCAGAATGGGAAAACTCACTTCTGGAACAGGCGTTGTTTGAGAATACCATACTAGCTTGTAGAAAGCACATAGCACCATGTTCTGCTCCTAGCTTGTAGAAAGCCCATAGCACCATGTTTCTGCTCCTAGCTTGTAAAAAGCACATACCACCATGTTCTGCTCCTAGGTTGTAAAAAGCACATAACACCATGTTCTGCTCCTAGCTTGTAGAAAGCACATAACACCATGTTCTGATCCTAGCTTGTAAAAAGCACATAACGCCATGTTCTGTACATAGCTTCCAGAAAGCACCCACGACATTCATGACAACTTCAAGATAGTCTTTTATAAGCAAATAGAATTTTGGCCGCAGGGGTTTCCTGCCACTTCGCGAAATATCCGCAAAAAGTATCATATACACTGGTCAATAAAGTACATCGGACCTTGGCCACACCTCTCGGCAGAGGCGTGGCGAGGGGGGTGCAGGGAGGGACAGATGTCCCCGGGCGCCTGGTAGTTAGGGGCGCCAAAATGTGCTTTGATATTATTTCATTGATGAAAATAATGGGTTTGCGAGTTTAAAAAAAGGAAAAGGGGGCGCTTTAAAATGGATCTTGTCCCGGGCGCGAATCTTGTCCCCGGGCGCCAAACACCCTCGCTACGCCGCTGCCTCTCGGCAAAAAGTGTAAAATGGCCGGTCATTTCGCGAACCAGTCGAACTTCTGGAATTGTTCGTTACATATGTACATGCCCCTGAAGATTACCTCATTATTTTAAAACATTTATTGAAACCCCATTTATTATAAAATATTAACACCTGTTCTTTGTTTGTTGCTCTCAAAATCATTATGTTCTTTAAGTTAAGCAAAGTGATAAAGCTTATAAAATTATTGATGGGCACCATTTTTTTGGCGTAGCTGACTATTTTTAACTTAGAGGGTAGGCGCCGTGAAAAGGGAGGGTAGGGGGTTAGGAGGAGCCAGTAAGGCCAACGGCCGAGAAAATTTAACTTTATCAAACTTTGTTTTGGCAAGCTACCATTTTTATCCCACAATAGCACCCTATTTGTGGGACGTAGGGTTGGAGCTGGTGGGGATATATGGTGCTGATGGGATTTGGACCACAAACATTTACAAACATTGTATTACCTGGTTCCCATCTAATGGCGATTTCGTCTTAGAAAGACCTGTGTACATTTTGGCTCTCGTCAAGGGAAACCTTTGAACCGACGACCTTTGGTTTTCGTAGTTGACACTCGACCAGTCAAGCTCAACAATTTTTGGTCTGGCTGTGGGTTGTGATTTGAATCGTATGGCAAAGTCGTCTGGAGTTGTTAAGTAGACAGGGGCAGTCCTTGACTTCTGTCGTCTGTTGGTGGTCATATCATCTGTGAAGGTGTCCGTCGCGGAACAGGGTGGCACACTTCGGTAGATACCGTTCTGGATTGATGACGTAGTCGCCATCGTGTCAGTGACCAGGAAGACTGACGTCAGTTAACCGTTGACGAGTTTCAGCACTATAAAGATGATATAATTATTAAAATAAACTATTCTTGCCTTCACTAGATGCAATGATGATTGCGCTAAGTCCTGGGGGGGGGGGGTGCGTTGGTCCTGGGCTGTAGGCTACATTGGGATCGTAGGCACCACAAGTCTTGAGAAAACAAAATATAATGTAAGATTATTCCTTTACAGGGAAATACAACACAAAAAATGTGCGATCGTATAGACGGTATAGTAAATATGTGCTTTATTTTATTGAATTTATTTTTTTAGCCAAACTAAGTTACTTATTCTAGAATAATATGGGGAGGACAGGGTACAGGTTGAAACAATATTAAAGATAAGATACATATTAATGTTGTTCAATAGAAATTAAGTGAAAAGTTTCTAAGAGACTCAGACCGATCCTTGTCACGCCTTCATATTAACAAAATGTAAGTATACCCTAAAGCATTGTTTCCAAAACTTTTTTGTGCCATGCCCCACAAAAGCCTTTCTAAAATTCTTACGCCCCCCCCCCCAATCCCCATGAATCATATACATAATTTTCAAAAATAGGGTTGTTCACTGAAGAAAAAATGATTTTTACAACACTTTTAACGAACTCTTATTTTAAATTGAAACTTAAACGATTCTCCTTTTAAAATACAAGTTATATCATAGTATACGGTTAGTTTTCAAATTCTAGAAATCACATTTTTCTAATCGCCCCCCTAAACAATCAAATTGCCCTCCTGTGGGGCGTAGGCCTCACGATGGGAAGCAAGGCCCTAAAGTATGTCAATAAGTTAGGTTAGGTTAGCCAATACATAAATAGACCTACGTGGAATCAATAATTACGTAATATATTAAACAGATTGAGCCAGCAATGATCTTTTCAGACTTCAAGTTATAAAAATGACATGGCAAAGTAGTTTCTCTTGTCGAAAGGCTGAGAACTACAGCTTTTATTATCAACGCGAGAAAAACTGTAGGACGTAAGTCTTCCTCATCTTGAAAATGTAATAATTAGATTCACATCAGTATGATTCCAGGGCCGGCGCTAGGAGGGTGTGGGGCCTTGGGCAAATTGAATTTTGCGGGGCCGTTGACGTTATATCTTCCGCCGATAGGACATTAAGACACGTTATAGTCGCACTGGGGCCTTGCTGGTCATAGTGGTCTTCCCGAGATTCATCTCGAATGGGAGCCAGTATGGAAGCCAGACTGACCTTCAGACCATTTGACTATCTAACAACTCCGAATATTGTGTTGACTGGATTAGGAACTATTAGTAGGCTTTTATTAGGTATATTTTAAATATACTACGGCAACGTTTTGGGCCCGCCCCACTTCGCCACCCTTTAGCGCTGACCCTAATGATTCAAACCTGCGCATACATTTAATAGTGTAGGGCCTATGTTATCTTAGCGTTGTAAGCAACAGAAATAAAGAAAGTGTTAATAACTAAACTGAAATGCTCAGTGCGTCTGCAGATTACCTATTTTTGTTTGGTTATTCCTTTCAAACACTAAGCTATATCCACAGCTTTATCCATATTATATAAACGCACACATTGAAGCAATCGACAGATACCACTGCCAAATTTGGCACACTTTGTCATTCTGATTGCCTGTGCGGTCTTCAATCTAGCAGGCAGCTTAGGCTACACACTGCGGAGCAGACGTTCGCCACTCAGAGGCACGTCTCGTCGACTTGGCGCTGGTCCTGATCGACTTCAAGTGTACAATGACAATAAGCACATCGGTACATGTAGGACATCATGCTTTATTTACTCGACGTCTATATGTATTTATTAAAATAGTGTACATCGAGTTATTGGTTTAATATATTTAAATTGAGTGCGGCGGTACGGCGTCACATCACAATTAATCGAGTAGGGTGGGGGAGGGGGCTTTTGGTCTAACAAAACTCGCAAGAAACAAAAATATTTTGATAACCTTTTAAAGAACTTTTTCTAAAGGCGAGGCTAAACTAGAGTGACCAAACATGAACTGGAAAAAGACGGGACACTCCCAAGGAGGGTTGGGGGTGGGGAGCCCTCCAGCTAAGAAGGGGTCCAGGGGCCTCCACCGGAAACAGTTTATTGAAATATGTTCATTTTAACTATTTTGAGACCTAGAAATCTTTTTAAATTTACCTTCACTTTGTAATTTAATTTAAACTCTGAGGCGTTTCATATACGAAAACAATAATTTTGCAATGAATACTTATTTATTTATACCTATTTTACAACATAATAGAATCTATGGCAGGGACAATTTCATTTACGCAGAATCGGCAGAGTAGTGGAGGGGGGAAAGTGCAGCCATCATGCGAGCACACATCAATACTGGCACTGGCTACACAGCTAGCCAAAATATTACTTGAATTTATATTATAAATTATGAAGTTTTAGTGATTTGAACATGTGTTTTGTCTTAGAAACGGGACCTTTAAGCGTCCTTTAAAAGATCTTGAAAAAACGGGACAATCCCGTTTTTACGGGACGTTAGGTCATCCTAGGGTTAACACACTTAAAAGTAGAAGAGAATTTACAATTTCTTAAAATGCATTACGCAAAGAAAGACAGCGCAGAAGTGAAGATGAGAACTTTAAGTAGCCAAAAGATTTCGAAATGAATGAATAGGAATATTCTTATTAATTAAAAAAAAAAAAAATCTGAGAAGACTTTCTGGGAAAGGGGCACTCGCACCTGGCGCCAATAGTGGGGTGGGGGGCGCTAAAATAAGCTTTAGATAGGAAATTTATAGAGAATTAAATGATGAAATACGTCACATAGACTAGGGGAGCTAAAATTGTCTTTTTAATGATCCGCCTCGACCCGGACTGCACTTTTTTTTTTTTACTATAGTGGCCTAAATTGGTAGGCTACGCGCCATTATCAGGTTTCTCCCCGGCCACCGCTCTTCATCGTGACTATATTCATTCATCCAAAAATATTTTGTTTGGCGCATAGAGAATGTGGGTATATATAAATATAGTTTGATTTGCAACGTCTAAGGGTATTCTGGCAGTTCCCCCTAATTTCAAATGGTGAGAGCCTCTGATCTATATTAAGAAACAGACGTCTTTTCCTCCTTTCCCAGAGTTCTATTTGCACATGACAGGAAGTTAATGTCTATCACATCAATGTATCTGACGTCGCCATATTGCTGTTTATGTTGATTATAACCAGACGCTATTCTAGTTTTCCCAAATATAACAAAATATGTTATAAAATGCGACGATTTTCAAACATGCTTTGATGTGAGTGAAGCTTAAATTATTATATTTTTTGTGAAATTGATCCGAAAGAAGTAACAAGTCTGGCAAACATTATCATTCATTAATTAATCATAATGATTGATTGAAAATTATTACATTTTTTTTTTTTAAATGACAAACGAATTATCAAGTTCAAGTCTCAATTATGTCGAATTCATATAGTCATAAATAGGAAACAAGGTGACAAATATGGCACATCAAACATGTAACAATGAACATGTCGACTGGAAGCCTTTTTCAGCAAACAAACAACTAAAAACAATGTTATTCAATTTATAATTTATACTTGTGAATGTGAATCACAACAACTTAGATTTTAGCTGCAGGCTGTGTTCTATTTTTCTAGGCCTGTCTATTTAAATGTATATATTGCATGGTAAACTACCACTTATTGAGCATCGGTTATGAAAGAATCATGTTTCAGTTTTAAGTGCTATTTAAATGGTTATTCTTTTTAAAAAAGTGCGGTAAATGCAAAGAAGAGATGCCATGTAAAAATAAAATAACTTAAGTTTGCCAAAATTAGGAATAAAACGTTAAAAAGCATCCCTTAACCCAACCTGAACCCTTAATCACTAAAAAATCTGGTAAATTTTGAGTTAACAGTATGAGAATGGGGTAAATTTTAAGGACGAATGCCACTATTTTATGGAATTTCACTAATGTATCCCTAAATCGATCCCTATGACTATGCACAACCTGAACCCTAAATCGATCCCTATGCCTAACCTGAACCCTAAATCGATCCCTATGCCTAACCTGAACCCTAAATCGATCCCTTTGCCTAACCCCTGAACCCTAAATCGATCCCTCAACCTAACCTAAACCCTAATTCACTGCAACTATAATAAACACAAAAAAGTCGCTGTGGCATCCGTCCTTAATTTTAGCCGAGAAGGGGTTATGCCAAGAGTTTTCTCACCCTAAGCGCAGTGACGTCACATTGGGAAATCCCATCACTGGACTTACGGTGAATAGATCTATTCTTTGAAGGACCAGAACGATGTGTGTTATAACATTCCGATTCCTGTTCTTTATTGAGCATTACTCACGTCATAAACGATACAGTTAATATGAAGTACCGGTATATTGAAATAATTTTCCATTAATTTGTCGAAGTGGTTATGCGCAGCCGACTGCGTATAACCCTGAGAGTTATACGCAGTCGGCAAGTCACGTGACGTCTATATTCTTCCTGGGTTACAGTATCAATCAATAAGGGTGCCTCGTTATTGTGGTGACTTGGTGGTCAAATGGGTCAAATTGACCAAACCTCAAGTTGGTGGTCTTGAGTTCAATTCCAGCCAACGGCAAGCCATGAATACAGAATGAACCAAAAACAGCTATGATAACTTTTGTTTTGGCTAAAAAATGTTAAAACATGATAAGAATTAACTTGACCAATGTAATGTTAATAATGTTAGTCTTATAATTATCAAATATATGTTTGTGTTGTTAACATATATTTTGTGTTGTTAACTAATTTTGTGGCAGATAAAATCATGTTTCTCTGGTACAGTAATAAATATAATCATGGGTTGATAGTAGCAGTAAAAAAAATCGCTGTAGGGGCAAGGGTTCTGTAGAGGGAGCACTGTAAGTAATACTTTCACACAGTTATAGCTTTGCATGGAAGCTGAAAACTGTTACATTTAGGTCATCAAAAAAAAAAAAAGAACATAAATGATATAATTTTTTTTTAAATAAATAGAATGTATTTCCTGAATTAGTCAGTAAAACTAACCACATGGTAATAGCAACATATAAAAACCTAATCAATCAAAACACATAACTAGACTTAGACCGCGTTAGGCTTAAACTTTAAGAAATGTAGACTTTGACTTATACTTATAATTATAATATATAAGATACAAGCAATAATACTAATAATAGCACTAATACTAATAACTAATACTATTGCTATCATCAATTTCAATATTAAGTAAAATTAATTCAATTAAAATTTTCCGTTAAACACATTAAAAATTATAGTTAAAAACAACCCATCATCCAGCTAATTACGCATAATACTTTTTTTTAACTTGCCAAACAAGCGATTGATAACCTTATTTGGCTAAATTCCTAGCCGACTGCGTATAACCCTGAGAGTTATACGCAGTCAGCTGTGAATAACCCTCAGGGTTATGCGCAGTCGACTGCGTATAACGCTTCCCTTAATTTGTATTAAAATTCAACGTACACGTTTCAAAAGGAAGGAAAAAAAGAAACACAACCTTGCTGATAGTATCAGTGATACCCCAAGACCCAACACCGGTGACAAAAATGACGCCCGCCAAAATTGCTGTATTTTGATTATTTGAAATCAAAATACCTGTAGTTAGGTAACAAAGGGAATACAACTGCTTAAATTGCATTAGGAATAATCTTTAGGAACTGGGGAGGGGTCTCCCCTCCCCTCGCTTTAAATACCAAAATTAGAAACATAGAAAATATCTGGAGAGGGGAGACCCCTCCCCAAGTTAACTAGAAATATAAAATAAAAAAACAATAACTTGCATTATGTAAATACAGACATCGAAATATTTTTGGTATGGCACTGTAGACAGAAATGGACCTGGAGGATTCTCCGTGACTTATATACTGTGGGACACATCGTCGAAACCTAACCTGGGTATTGGCCCTAAACCTAGCCTGACTATTCTAAAGCCTCAAGTAAAAAACATGTGTTCAGCAGCAGTTACAGTTATTAGATGTTACTGAGTAGGCTCTAGGCCTAATTTCTATGTAGTATTTATATTAAACATTTAACTGAGGCTTAGATCTACAGTTAGTAATATAAAAGAGGCATCAATAACCCAATCTAATTTCTGTTAATTTAGTGCAGTGTTGTTGGTACTTTCATCACTTTTAGATAAATAAGTGGGTATTGGCAGCATCTCCCCACCCAGAATCACATGTTTGCTAAGATGTTGTTAATGGCAAGGCAAGCGATGTCTTCCGAGGTATATAGGCATAGGTCATGAAAGTTTTCCATCTCAACTGCTAGCCATAGTTCTGTATTCAAAATAGTAAAAATGTAGTAAGCAGAGTTTTCTTACCCTAAGAGCAGTGACATCACTTTGGGGGAATCCCAACACTGGACAAAAATATTTGACAGGTGACGACAGAACCAACAGTTGAACCTCAACGATGGGTATAACTTTCACATTACTCACTACAGAATATTATTCATGGCTTAATCGTAATTTGACAATCGATACAGTTAATATGGAATAAATTAAAAATAAGTTTTCCATTAGTTTTTGTTAAAATGTAACTTTCAAGGTTCAAAAGAAATTTTAAAAAGGAATATCATCCTTGCTCATACCCTGAGATGATAACTTTGCCATTCGTCACTGAGCATTATTCTTGTCATAAATGTAATCAGACGATCAATACAGTTAATATGAAATAAATTAAAATGAAATTTTCAATTTGTGTTTATCAAAATGTTACTTACAAGGTTCAAAAGAAATATAAAAAAAAAGAAACTCATCCTTGCTCATACTCATACCCCGAGTTAAACACTGCTATTTTTTTTTTTTTTTTTTATTGTGTGAAAAAAAAAGTACCGGTATGCTATTCATTTCTATCATGTCATAATTTCACAGGAAATCTATCAATAGACCTAACCTGAACCTTAAAACCACATGTGCTAGTTATATGCTGTATTGAGAAAAGACTAAAATTTAATAAAAAGTTTAATATAATTTTTAAAATATTCAAAATAATGAAAACCGAACTTAACAGTCTCGTTTGAGTTTAAGCACTTTATTACAGGTTCCCCCTTAAATAAAATCCAGAAGTTATCCATTAAGTCAAAATCCATTTAACAAATACTCAGAAGAAGACTTAAATAACGGTATTAACCTTGTCGGTTTGAAATATTTTAAAAAATTCATCACTCAAAACATTCCATCAGCATATTAAATGTATAAAATCATAAATATGAAGGAAAACCTATTAATGGCATGCAATCACCCATCCTTAGCTTCAACAGCTCAGTTGGGGTTTTGTTTAAATACTCTACTGGCCACTGCAATTATAGACATTTGTTAGTCTGCTATATTTAGATTAAGTTGAAATCTGATAATGGCATGTTATTGACAAAAGGGCTGAAACATTAAATTTTAAATTTATTTTGTGGGTGTTCATTGCCATAATATCAAATTGAACCCCAGAAAACCTAATTACCGGTATTCTTATGGCTCAACTTGCTCCACCCAAACACAGTGAATAAATACACCAAAATACGATCATTGTTAATTAAATACCTTTAATATAAAAAGCTTAAATATGATATTACCCAAACATCTAGATTAAGTGGTCTACTGGGGAATTGATTCTTTGAATCCTTTAAATAGGCCCTCTTATTTTTTTTAATTTTGCCCAGGAATCTTCAAAAAAGGCAACCAAATATACTTATTTTGCTTTTAGTATAATTCATCATTTGATGGATTTGAACCACTTTGTCCATAACTTTTGAATTCATATCAAGTCTAAGAAACCATCCTAGGAAGTAAAACCTCACCCCATCCAGGTTAAGAGTTTCATACATACTTCAATCTTTGTCTCACTCACACACACACATATATATATATATTTAAGCCTATGTTAATTTGTATCATTACTTCACTTCTTTTCAGAGTTTAAATTTAAGACTTAGTTGCCTGGATTATCTTGTCATTTGTAGTGAAAATGTCTTGCATTCACTACAAGTTCAAGAGCAGCCTAGACTACAATTCTGTTACCTTTGATGGCTTACATCTTTCCCTTGCTGATTTAAAGAAAGCTATTAGTCAGCAGAAGCGTCTTAAACCAGGAGAATTTGAATTGGAAATTACAAATGCTCAAACTGGAGATGGTAAGTACCATAATGTTCACTTTAAAAATTTTGTAAAAAATAGATTTCAGCATAATTAGTGCACACCCATTGTACCGTATCAGTTATTTGACTTGGTACTTTTGCAAATGTAGTTTGTTTTATTTTAAATTTTAGTTTACAAGAAAAATGATGAGTTGATTGCTAAGAATACCTCAGTCATTGTCTCTCGAGTACCTATGAATAAGACAACAGCTAGCAGCACACAGAAGTCATGGTGAGTTTAAAAGAATTATTTTTCCTTAAGTTTAAACTTATTTGGCTTTTATTTTATTATGGTTAGGCCTACTGTATAAAATTTTATTCATTATGTTTGAGATATAAGATAAAATAAAGTTTACAAGTTTGTCAAATGTTTGTTATATCTTTACCAATAACAGTGTTAAAAAAAATGAATGCTTGCATTACTAAATCAGTTTCGGCTAAGGTAATTGATGATCAAATTATAAAGTTGGCTCTTTTATTTAATTGTTGCGTAGTTTAAAAATACCTGGGTTTAGATTTATTATTTCATGTCTAAAAATTGATATTTTTACCGGATTAAATAGAAAAGGTGAATGTCTTTTGTAGGATGTAACTCCATCAATTTAAATAAAATGAGAATTTAACTTTGTTCTTGTTTTTTAAAATTCTATTCTTCAAAAGCTTTATTTTATAATAAAGTTATCAATTTCTTTGTTTCAGGGAGGCGTTCAAGCAGGAGTGCGCAAAAGTAGTACGTGTCTCAGTGGTAACTTGTGGTCTTGGTAGATAAGTTAATTTCCATTCTGAATTATTTCATTTAGTTTTTGTGGTGACATGGTTTGATTCAGTAATAAGCGTTTATATATTCATCATCGTAAGGGTTTGAACTAATTTTCCTACCGTTTGTCTTACCGTGTTGATTTACTGAATGGTTTGGTATCGTTGAACTCAAAAGTGACAAAGCTGCGTGCATTTATAAGCATTTAATTTGCGATGAAGGGTAACATTTCATTTATGCGCAACTTATCAATGTATGCTGGGCATAACAATTCTTGATGTTCATTTTGATTAAAACTATCAATTGTACTGTTTTTAACTGTACTTTCATGTGAGAATTTGATATCTTATGAGTCAAATTATTGTTGCTTTTTATTATACCACTACACGGAGAGTCGTTTTGGCACTGTATTTGTGAGGTTTGGTTCATTTTGGATCTAACATTTTGATCAGTATTTATAAATTCCTTCCATTTTTAAATCATTTATTGCATGTACATAAAGATCTCCACAAAGATTTTTATTTGTTGACCTTCAATATTGAATATTAGAATTTTACAATGATGTCGCTTAAGCATTAAGATGTTTTACAATCAGGTGTATTTGTTGATACAAGTATTTATTCTTGAATACTTTTTTTTTATTTTATACATAATTGTCATATAATAAATGGCTTTTAAATCTGTTATATGTTTTTTTTAATATATAAACTGAAATACGTTACTTGTATATATGTTATGTATACATTTTATAAACAATTTATGCCTTTTTATGTTGACTAAAAAGTTGTAAAGGATGCAATTTATTTTAAAATATTGTTTTGTTTTAGTTATAAGGATGATGTTTTTAAAATTAATTTTATACACTTTCCTTCAAGCACTTTAATATACCTGTGTGGTAATGTAATTATAATAAACACTTATTTTATCTAAGACAATAGTAACCCAACTTGAAATTGTATTTACTAAAAGTGTATGATTCCTTCTCTTGCATTGTTGGCATTTAGAGATTTGGGTTGCATTGCTTTATCTATTCTAATTCCTACCTTAACAAACAGTTTGGAAAAGTAAATATTTAATATAATAGTTTCATTTTTTAAATAGCTCGCCTCTTCAAGATTTACTTGGTCAAAAAGTTTTGATTAAGAATCAAAATCAAAGTGTATCTGTTTTTGCTCATAGTTATGAGTTTTTTTCCCTGAAGTTGAACATTTCCCATTAAGTGGTTAAGTGTTACAAATTTAAAAGGCACTTTAAAAATTATTGATTTAATTCAAATTTATGTTACTGGATAACTTTTCTAAAGGATATATTGAGAGCATTATCTCTTTTTGTGGGGTCTGCTGACTTAAAAAGTTAAATAAAAAATTAATTTTTAAACAATTTTTTATGATAACATGGAGTTGGAATAATTTCATTATGCTGAATCGTTTTCGGTGTGTTTTCTTTTACCATATTTATTTTGTTAAACAATGAGCTAAGTTTATGCACTTTTTTAATAAAGGTGTGAGGGGGGGGGGGGATGAATTTTTTGGCTCATAAAATTAAATTGAAAAGAGGGGTTTTTTTTTAAATTTAATCTACCATTTTAAAACAATAATTTCATTTAGCCAATTAACTCAAAGCTGGTAATTATTCTTTTCTTTTACCATATTTATTTTGTTAAACAATGAGCTAAGTTTATGCACTTTTTTAATAAAGGTGTGAGGGGGGGGGGGGATGAATTTTTTGGCTCATAAAATTAAATTGAAAAGAGGGGTTTTATTTTAAATTTAATCTACCATTTTAAAACAATAATTTCATTTAGCCAGATAACGCAAAGCTGGTAATTATTCGTTTGATAATGAAATTTAAAAAAAAATTCTAAATGGCCAAATTGTATAGCATATGCAAATACCAGTGCTTAAATCCCAAAACCCCTAATATACATCACCCCCACAAAAAAATCGTTTTGCTTCTTACCCTGAATGTAATACTTTGTATGTCATTGTCTTGAGGACTAAAGATAGCTTTGACGTACAAGCACAAGATGAAGTTGTCATAGACCAGTGGTTTCCAAACTTTATTTTACTTAGACCCCCTTTAAAAAAAGTGTAACTCCAGCACACACACACACACACACACACACACACACACCCCCCCCCCCTCTCTTATACAAAAAGATAATTTTCCTATGTTGTATATGAAGAGTTGATTTTAAAAATGCTGTTTCTCCATTTTTGGCGTTTTGAGATATTTGACGACTTGTTCTGCTACACAATGATGGCTCAAATTTTCTTAAAAGTAAATGTTAACTTAGGTATATATTCAAAATATAATTCAGATCATGATGAAAATTGAAATGTAGGATAATTAAAATGTATTTATTTACTCGGTTTAATTTCTTATTTCGTTTCAAAATGCTGTGTATCCAGCTTTTAATTACCGTCAAAATGCTGTATATCCATTTTGATAGCATAACATTAATCCCCAGTAGCAAATAATTCAAGTTGTTGATAGATTACAAACCACTTACATAACAAAATATATTAAATTGTATCATATACATTTTATAATTGTGTATGATTAATTTTTTTTATTGATATATTTTAACAGAACAGTATTATAAATGCTGCGAAGTCGCTTGTAATAGTGTAATGTTTAGAGTGCTATAAGTTTGCATGATTTGTTTTTATAAATCTGAATTCTGAACAAAAGTAAACAAGATAATTTTCGATTCACAAATGATTTTATTTGAATTTAGGACAATAACAAAATACAAAATTATAAGGTGTCGGAGTGTGCATCATCTTCAATAGCAGTTTGGTTTTGTTTTAGGAAAAGTTGATGCTTTGTTTTAGGAAAAGTTGATGCATCTTATTTACATTCAAATCAGAGGGCATATATTTCTGTCCTTGAGCACCCTTTCTTCTGTAATGGCTGGATCTGCATGTAAAAGATTGAATGTGTGATAAATAACACAGCTAACTCTGTAAAGCAACTTTTTATTTTCATTTCCTTAACATTTCTGATGTGTAGTAACCATAACCATAATAATAATAATGTAAAATGAACTTTAGTGGTTTTTTAATAAAGTTACCAGTAACTCACCTTGCAGAACCCTTTATCGTGATTACAGGTAACCGAGGGGATCTTTCCTCCCCTTGAATGACCCAATGATTTTTATTTTTCTCTTGTTGAGCTTTTTTTTTTTGGAGATTTTATAGTACAAATAACTCTTTTATCCAGGCTGTCGTTATCCACCATGTTTGTTGTTGTTTTGCTTTGTGGTGTTTAGTGCGCATGCGCATAATGCTGCAGAATAGCTTGCCAATCACACGCCTTGGTCTGAAAAGATATGCATCGTTTTGATAATAAAAAAGAAAATTCACACTGCGTTTTGAAAATAAAAAAAAAAATTTTAGACATAGAATAATATAGGATTAAAATGTGTTTTGTAGATAAATTTTAACATGTCCTAAAGGAACCATGTTTGCTCTTCAAGAATATACAGTTAATTAATTTTTTTTCTAAAATGGCGGATACCGCGTTTTGAACTCGAATTTTCATATGGTAAAAATAAATTAATATGAAGTACCCAGTAATTAAAATAAATGTAATGACAAAAAATTAATAAAGTTTTACTGTATATTAATTTTTTTTTATAATGTAATGGATGCTCTTGATTAGCACAAAATTGATCAAATCTATGTACGGGTAGTTCTTTTTCTACTAATCAGGCTCAGTATAAGGATTTCATTGCTGCTAATGCAATAAATATTGTATTGCCTTAATATGATAATAATAAATTTCATTATGATTTTCATCAAGAACAATCCTTTGCAACTCTTTTTTTGGCGTCGATTATCTTTTGAATCACATTTGCTGCACACTTCTCGATAGCATACAAATAAGGTTAATTAGCTTCCATATCTCCACACACCTTTGCAAACAACCTAACTCTTAAAAGACTGTTTTTTTATGTAGCTTTTGATAACTTGTAAAAAGTTCCTCGCTCATATTTTTTAACAAACTGTACCGTAAAGCATGCATTGTGTCCCGATAACCAGGCTAACTAATGCTTGAACTCCCTTCTCTCCTAAAATTGACTGAAAGTTTCTGTTGTATTAGAAATTCCATTGGATGTGGGCTTTCCAGGAATGGTGTTGCAAAATAACATACCATCTGTTATATTAGTTTTTGAACATTTGGAATTAAATTGAGACCTTTAGCTAATTCAGTTGCCTCATCTATTTGTATGGTGAATTTCAAAGCATGCAGTAGAGGAACTCATGGCAAATATCTTTAGATATACCAATTATTCTTCTGCCAACTGTATTATCAAGCGATATTTTTATGCAACAGTATTGCACATGATTTGCTAAGAAATTTCTAGAGGTTCTCCTATCAGCATCACTATCTTCGTCATTATTTTCTCATTAACCAGTCACAAAAAAATTAATCCCTTTTGTTTAAAAATGTTATGGTTACATGAATTTTCTTTTAAAAAAAAAAACAACCTATAAACTACTAACAATTGTTATTAAGTTATCATAACAAAAAAGTTATAAGTTATAACACACACAAAAATTTTAAGAAACACCATCTCACACCCCTAAAACACTTCTGTTAATATGAGTGATGTTTGAAAATAGAGTAATTTTTTTAATGGTTACTGCGACTAGCAGTTCAAGCTGTCGCTTTAAAACTATGCACTTGCAAACCAATGGTGTCATTCAAAATGACTTGTTTAAAATTTTTTTTTTTTTAAATCGGTCTTTACTGTAGTAACAAATAATTTTCATCCATGCAGCCAATGCTTTACTATGCACTCTACATATACGTAATCCATAGTATGCACTTAATTATATATATTACATCAAATCAATCATAATTCTTCAATCCATTACAGGAAAATATTTTTTTTCCTTCAAATTCAAAATAAATGTTTATCAATGTTAATATCAAAGTTAAAGTGAGATATGTTGTGGTAAATGCTTTTAAAAATAAGTTATAAAATTAAATGTTATGAACATTTATTTATAAATACTGTAAAAAATGTATATATATGTTGTGAAAATATAATTTGTAAACTTTTTGAGCTTACCTTTGTACTAGTCCAGACCTCTCCAGGGAAGCGCATCCCTCCCATTTAGGAAATCGCTGTCATAGACTATGACTTAAAGTGTCAATTTTTTTCACAATTTTTTTTGTAGAGAAAAACACGCACACGCACCCACCCCTCACCCCACCCCAAGACCTGTTTGTATCTAAGTGCCTACATTGTATCTTGCACAAATTATGCCACAGGCACAAAAGCGTGCAGTAGAGTTGTCATTACTTTTTTTATATCTAGAGAGTTCCCTTTGAAAATACAAAGCAACACAATGAGAATAATTTCAAAACATATCTTTGATATTTTTGTAGTCTTCAAAGTTAATTAAATCAGAGATTCTTTGGTTTTTAGGTGACATTTGATTAATTTGAAGATATTAATAGGTGATTAAATCCTCTCCAAAAAATTTAATTTACGTTTTAACGTGATTATCATTTCTTTCATTTGTAGTCTTCTTATTTTCAAAATATAAATGATGTTTGTGAACATTATTTTGATCATAATACCATTCACATCTTCATCAACCCGACATAAATGTTTGCAGAGGGTGTAGCTGATGCATTACCTTAAGTTGGCTTTAAATTGGTTTTCGCATGCTTTTCATTTGAAGTGTTAGCAAAGGTAATAACAATACTCTTAGTACCACATCTATCTATTTCTTTGAAGACAAATAAACATTGAACTTTTCGAGTGACAAAGTACATATTCTCCCAAATATCCCATACAATTTGTTTTTTTCTCCAGGAACTTTGTTAGATGTTCAAGCCATTTTTTTATATGCATAAGCGTAGAAAGTTAGTCCAGTGCCTTCAGAATGTTAAGTCAGCTTTAAGTAATTGTTTAGAGTAGGGATGGGTAAACTTTTTAGCGGCAAGCCAGATTCAAAAGGTAACAGGCACTGGAATCATAAATCATGAATGAAAAAAAAAGGTGGGTGGGGGTTGTAGTTTTACCAGAATCATAGGAATGTATTATTTTAAAAAATAACAATATTTGTACAATTACGGGTACTATTGATTCAATTAAGTCGTCATTAAAAAAATAACTTAACACTCACCAGTAGTACAAATCTTATTGTGCCATTGACTTTGAAGGCTTTTGGTTGCTTGAGTTGGAAAATAACACCTTTAGCCTGTGCCTGATGGTGGTGTGATACATGATTTTTCTCATTCTCTAAGAGTTTGTTGAGGTAGGCTTGATTTTGGCTGTAGCAACTCACATCTGGTTTTGCAAATTTTCATTGCTTAGGCCACAACATAATTTAACATTGGCAAGGTTCATTTTATAAAAGAACTGCTCACAAATATAAGTTGTTCCAAAGAGAGATATTATTCTTAAAGCACGATCACAAAGTTGATGGTATTGAAAGCTTGACAGACTTTTGTAGAACCTGATTAAAGATTGGTTCCAAAAGTTTGTTTTGAGAGCTTTGTCTGACCGCAAATCTAATAATCCCATTTGAAACTGAGGGTCAACTTCACTTGAATTGACACGAAAGGTCACCTCATAAAGTTTAAACTCAGTTTCTCTCTCAATGACTTTCGAGAAAGCAAGTATTAAAAGCATTTCACAACATTCTGCTTTCAGCTGCATATTGTTAGTATTATTTGGATTTTGGCTGTTGGGTGTAGGGAAGAGTGTTGTATTGCCCTCTTTAAGTTGCTTTTGCCAGTAGACTAATTTATTTCAAACGAGTTTAAGCTGGTAACAATAGAAGTTATGAGCTGATCAAGGCCTTGCAGCTAAACTTTCAACTCAAACAGGTACTTGTGTCAGCCATAAGTTATCAAGTTCAGGAACTGGCCTATTCTTTATATCCATAAAAGTTGTGACCTCGCCGCACAGCTCCCAGGCTCGCCGCACAGCTCCCAGAATAGCTTCATCATATCTCCAAGACTGAGCAAACGAACAGCACAGTAGATCGCTATGTTCACCTTGTTTGAAATCAACAAAAAGCTCCTGAAACTGTTGGTTGTTCATTTATAAAATTCACATATTTAACAACAACCATTAACACATTTCATAGTCAAACATCGAGCACATATCAATGGTGTTTCAAGCAGTGAACACTGAATAGTTTTTCAGCAGCAAAACCTTGTTTGTTCATTTCTTGTTGCAAAGTCCAAAAATCCTTAGATTTTTCCTATCAATGAGGGTGCTCCATCAGTAGCTACCCCTCTCAATTTTTGAAAGATAAACTGTTTTCATGCATTGTATTTATTAGGTTATCAATATGTAGTTGTGCCTTTCAGTTATTTTAAATCCAGTAATTCTTCAGTCTCTTCAAACTCACTTGAAACACCTCTAATAAAAATGGCAAGTTCAGCAGTGTTGGTTTTCTCATCAAGAACAAGAGAATATTATATAGTGTGAACATTTTCTCTTATGGTCAGTAATGTTATCTGTTATATCAGAAATATTTGACAAAATGCTTTTTCAGCTGACTGATATTTTTAAAATGCTGAGCTTGATCAGGGCAGACAATTTCAGACACAGCAATCATGCACTCTCTAATAAACTAAACCTTACTATGAGGCTTGAGTTTCTTTGCAATCGGATCACTCGCAACATAACTTGCTTGCAGAACAGCATCACTAGAAAGTTTGGCTTTCGTATACATTCCTCATCTTGTCATTGTTTCATAATGGTTATTTTGTTTGGGTTCGCTCAGAACCTTTCAAATTATGAATCTCAGGGTGTTGTGTCTTGTAATGTCTTTGAATGTTGCATTTCTTGAAACCCCCCTGGGCTTAGCTACAAGCCAAGCTTGTAGGGTTTCCATTTGATTCAGTAAAACAAAGCTCTTTCCACTCAGTGAGGAAAGAGCATTGAGCCTCATCACGTTTTCTTTTTTCTCCAGCCCTATTGATTATAATAACTATATTATGCACAAGTAAGATCAATTAACTATATTCTGCAATAATGACAGTATAATTGTATAATTGATTGTCACAAAATAGAATGTACTGAAACAATACAACACAAGTAATTTTTAGTGTTAATCTAAAAAATATCAAGCTCTTTGACCATTCTGAAAAAACATAACTCCACAACAGGAAGAAAATGTCTATCCCCAATAAATTGTGATTTCACCAGAAAAGCAAAACAACCCACATAGTAGTAACATCATAAATCGAACATTAAAATTACACATTCATTTTTTGTCTTTTCCATTTTTATGAATATTTTTTAAAGGGAGCTTGGGGCATTCAAAATGGGAGCCATGGTTTGTCCACCCCTGGTTTAGAGAGTTTATATATATATATATATATATATATACTTTACCGGTACTTATACTCTACTGATCCAAGATGAACTTTTTTGAGATTACTCTATTATAATTTATTGCTAGTAGTGACACCATACACTCTATTGGCCACAACTTAAAGCATGTTGTGCTATATGCAGTTTGAAACTCCTCTACCCTATCAATCCACTGTTTGTTTCTGATGTTGAATAACTTTACTTCAATAGATTTGCTCTGATTAAGCATTGGTTTTGGATTAAATTTTAGTTTTATATGCCTCCAATGTGTTTTTAAAATCATTTTAATTCCAAACTAATTTTACTGTTGTGTTCATCATGTAGTGATTGTAGTGTTCCCTGATTTGGGGTTTGTGGAAAGATGCCCATCTCAGAGCCATCAGTCAGACACTTTTAAAATAGTAATTTGAGTAATGTCATTCAATCACACTGGAAATATTGGGGTACACATATAAAAGTAAAGTACATCATAGGAAATAAATTTAATTCTTTAATTTTATTTATCTTGTTTTAGATACAAGACTTAGATTTTAGGTGAGATGCTTAAATGATCAAAACTTAACTCTTGGATTAAAATGAAGAATTAAAAAAATAGGTTCCAGCATATTGATAAACTTAAACAATTTCAAGATAAGACATTTTTAAAGTATTTCTAAAAAATAAGCCATTATATATCAAAACTTCTCTTCCTTAATTACAATGTTGACTAAAGTCATTATTTGACTTTATAACAGTCGGGGCAAGGTTTTTAAAAGCAATAAGTTCCCCTTGCTGGCAATATCTATAGATTTTAAATGAGTGTGCAAATATAATATAATATCAGTAGCAAATTTTGTAGGAGAACCTTGACCCGTGGTTTACTTGGCTATTCTTTTTGGCTCTTTTTTTTCTGTTAACATTAATTTTGCTTATGTTTATGTTTTTGCTCGGCTTATGTTTATGTTGACTGCCTTTATGTTTCTCTTGCACGTCTTTTAAGTTCAGTACTGGCCCTCCAATTTATCTTCCTCTCTCTGCCAGTTGCCCATGCAGCAGGTCTTTTGGAAATCCAGTAGTTTTCAGACTCTTGTTATGGTTGGCTTTGTCATCAAAGGCATCTTTTACTAAATGTGGAGTGCATGCTTCTCTGTGTTATTAGGTACTTTTCCTCCCATCAAATGCGTCTTAGGTGGAAGCTACTACGTTAACCTCCATGGCTGATGTAAATGGCCATCCATCATCTATCAAAATTGCGTGATTACATTTATGGGTGGCACCTAAGTGGTAAACATTTCCATTGAGGAGTACTGGGCATGCATGCTTAGTAGAAGCGCACTTGTCTTCTGTGAGAGGTTACTGTTGTTCTATGGCCTTGTTTAAACTTGAGGTGATCTTTATTTTCACGTCTGCATGGACGGAGAGTGAGGGGAATAAATTAAACCCAAAGTATAAATAGTTTTCAAATCTGCTTCTGGGGCCATGACATTTGTTTTAGTTTCAGTGAATTGAGGCTGCATCATCAGTGGCATTGAGGTAGATTTAATTAAAACCAGTGACATAAGGCCTCCTAAAAACATTTGGAATGTATATATACATATATATAATATACATCTCCATTGCCATGTTTGGTAACACTGGGCTTTAGACACTAATTTGGAAGTCATTTACCAGACAGATAATTTTGAATAATTTTCCCCGTTCCGATTGCATGTTCTGGTTATTTATTCATAGATAATAATATTTATAATGTCCATTTAACATCCACAAACTAGAAATTGGACAGCTTCTGAAGTGGCCTTTGGAAACTGATTTGATAAAAATATATTTCTGATTTTTATATAAAGCTCTCTTCAATAATTTAAAACAAGAAAAACGCTATAGTGTTTTTGACGAAGCAGAAAAGTTTGAGAATTGTGTATGAAAGGTTCTGTTAGTACTTCTGGAAGGTTTAATTATCAGTCTCTTTACTCTATGTATTCCTTTCTATCATTATTGATTTGAGAATGCAAGTTTTATATCTGTTCAAAATACCATGAGAAGGTTAAGCTTAAAAGGAAAAGAAAAACACAGCAGTCCCCTTGTTTTGGAATTTGTTGGTTGGTCACATCCCACAAAATTTTAAGTTATTAACTTCATTTTTTGCATTGGAGCAGTTAGCCTCGTTAAAAGTGATCTTAAAGTTATGCAACATATAGCTCACCTCCAAAGATAGATGTTTGTGCTAGTCTATAAAAATGCACTCCTTAGATCTGCTCCCTTTCCTTTTTGGATTTACAAGATAAAAATGTAATTATTCTTGAATTTCAAAATAATACTATTTCTAAATGTTCCCATAATGCAAAGTAAAATTGTTAAATTTGAAGTCAGAGAGAGAGAAAAATATGTCAGTAGCATGTATAATTTGCAACCCGTCTGCTCCATTTCAACTATTGATAGATTATTTTCAGTGGATTCAGTATTATCAACTTTATTTGACTAATCAGTTGCTTATGTTTTTGTTACTTAAATTTGTAGTATCATCAGGTCTAGCAGAGCATTACAGACCTATAGATAGTCTATAGTATTTTAAATGTGTAACTATTGTTCTTGTTCATAAGCAAGGTTAGTTAAAAATTTGAAATGCCGATTATTATCTTTTAAATTACTTGTATCACAAGAAATAATTAATAATTGAGAATCACTGCCATATTAATTAAAAATCTGTCATTATTCCTAGCATTTTAAGTTTTTATAGTAATGATTTCATTATAGCAACTTTTGTAAAATTAACCTAGAGAAGTGAATTTAATTATTTTCATTTAGATAAAGGTTCAAAATATCTTGCTATTTGCCATAACTTATTAGTAACTCTCTTGAGTTTTAAAAAAAAAAATTAAAGGCCTGCTTAAAGTAAATAAATATGCATATTTTGTTAGTACTAAAAATATGAAAGAAATCAGACCTAAGTAATTTTGAGCTGTATAGAATATTCCTTTTATTATGTTAAACAAAGTATATATTTTATAAATCGATATCTTAATTTTATCCTAATGAGTCTTTCATCTAAATTGATATATATTTATGTTACAATAATTTGTTGTTTTTAATTTAGGAACAGACTCAATATTTTTTATATTGATTATGCATTGGAAATTGTTTAGAGTTAAAAAGTCATGGTATTCTGTAATTGTTGCTGCTGAAACATTTCCTATGTGAGCTAAAAACTGTACTAATTTCTCTGTTTGACCTTAACTGTTCACAAATTTAGATTAGATAGATCAGTGAGCACAGATAAGTCCAAAGCGTATTTGTACACTTTTTCCCCTCAACTAGTTAAAGAAATAATCAATTTAATATTCATTATATTTGTAGAAACGTGTTCTTTTTACTTTAAAAAAAATTAAATTAAAACTATTTTTCTTAAGCTACTATTATAATTGAAAAGGAGCCTTAGCAACCTTATTTTAGTATTTAGAGAGTTATATTAAACACTGTTTTAGTTTTAGCAATGTCATGACTCTTTTATGTATTAACATTTTATATTTTGTACCAGTACCATTGATTAATGACTTGTGTTACTGCAAAAATAGATATACGTTAAAAAAAATTAGTCTACTTTTTATTTTTTTAAGTACCTTTTCTGGACTTTTATTCTAAATGTATTTTGCCAAACAAATCACTTAATGTCCTAATTTTATCTTTTTTGTGAATTCTAGCCCAAAGGATATTTATAAGAAGGATTTAAAACTCTAGCTTATATAAAAACCAGTTTTAAATTATTTGGATTTTAATGCTTTGATTAAGGACAATCATTAAAGTTAAAATATTTCTAATATTTCTGTATATCCATGTTTCTCTAAAAACTCTTTTGACAATTTTTAAAATAATTGTATGTATTTAAGTCTTACTTCAAATGTATTGTATTCATTCTAAAGATTGAGGGGGAAAAATTGCAACTTTAACAACTGTTATTTTTAAGCTGTACTGCATGTTGGCTCAATTCTTCAGACTATACCCAACTAGAACGCAAGAAATTTTCTTACAAACATTTTCAAATAGTAACAAAGTATCTTAAATTTAATACATATCTAGCTTCAAAATTCTTCTTCTTAGCCTTTTAAACTCCCAGTGGAGCATAGATCATTAATAATTTATATCCAAGCCTTCTGCTCTCTTGCTGTCTTCTCTTTGCTATCTTTTCGAACTCTTTTTCAATCTTTACTACATCCTTGTCGACCTCTCTTTGCCATGTGTTTTTGTGTCTTCCTTGTCCTCTTGATCTTTGGGGGTTACTATAGCTTGTCTTCTGATATTTGAAATACATTTTCTCTTGGTATGACCTATCCATCTCCAGCTTCTTTTCCAGATTTCTTGCTCAGCTACAAAAATAGTGCAAATATTTTTGTAAATTTTTAAAATATTTTTTTAAGTTAGTGCAAACATTTCAGAACAGAATAAGTTTTCTTACCTTCTTACACATACTCTTTTGGGTATAATTAGAATTCTCATTGGTTGGTCAATATGCTTTCATTTTTAAAAATATAAATATAATTTCTTAATGGTTATAAATTATTCAACCAAATTGCTACTACCATTACTCACATTATCAGAATTTTCTACTGACGTGTTTTTATTTTGTCAGAAATATTTCTGTCAGATTTTTTAAGATAGAGATGGCAGCTAAATTTTAAAATTATGTGTTACATTATCCCAACATTATTAATAATAGTTCATCTAGTTGTACCTGTTAAAAATGTTGTATGGACATTTCATGATTACTTCTTTTAAAATATGTGATATTAAAGTTGTGATGACTGAAATGTGTTGTCACATATATAAAAATCATTTTTGATCTAATTTTATTTAGTCAAACTTATTAATGTTCTAATCTACCAGTCAGCAAAATTTGTGTCCAATTTTTCTGTGATTATAAATTTGTTCTTGAAATTTGCAAATGATCTACCAGTTTCCAACCAACGTTCAAAGGTTCAAGTGAGAAAGTCATCCAGATCTACTAATTTCAACTACATTAATTTGTTGAGTTACCAGATTCTTCAAGGCAGTCAGCATAATTTTGAAAAATCAGATGCTATTTAAAGCACCCTCAACATTCTAAATACATATGCAATATGTTGCAATTGTAAACAGTGTAGAGACATTTTACTTTGTTGCTGTTTGTTCATTGAGCATTTCATTCAATAAAACAAGGGCTTTCATCCCTGTTCACGAGTTTCGCATTAGTTTCTATCTACTCTCTTAATGTCTAATAATTTTTAGCATGTTTAATTTTGATTTACAAGACCTAATAAAATAAAGTTTGTTTTCTGATCGTAATTTGACATATTCTAGTTTTTCCTCTAAAAATAGTATTTTAATTACTTTAGAACAAAATACGCTGTCAAATGGAGATATTTTTGTAAGAAAATGATAGTTGTTAAAGAAAGCAGTCTTGACCTAATAGACACGGCCATAATAAATTACACATCAGAATTTCCCCCTATAAATTATAGTTTTAAATTAAGCTGGTAATACTTTTTACTCACTGTTCGAAACAACCTTCTTTCTCACCGGGATTTTATCTTCCAATTTGAAATGCTTACCAGCCCAGTTAAAATGAATAAAATATTTCATTGCTGAAAAATTTTAATGGTTGTTCCATTTTACTCTTGGATAATCCTAATGTCCAAGGATGATGGATATGTTAAAACTTCAGACTTGTTAGAATTAGGTTATTGTCATACAAAACATTGACCTGAAAAATATTAGGAGATAACAGAATTGGAGAAATTTCAAAACACTTTGTCCAATTTCCACCTAAAATTTCAAGCTTAATTTCAAAGAAGAAACAAATACCTTAGTAAATATTGTTTATAAAACTAAAGAATAATTCAGTCCGAAAAAATTATTTGAAAATATATATTTTTTTAATCAAACGGAAATCCGGGCTTTAAACAAATATTGTAGATGAGCTGGAATGAAGATAGTTCAGTGGGGTTCATGGTCTGCAAGCAGAAGATCATTGGTGTTGAGTGTTGTACAACACAAGAACTGCAATGCTGCAGCAATGATGCCCTTCCCAGACATTTTTCATCCAGTGTCATGGTAAGGCTACATGTCTTGACAAGCTGCCATGCTGCTAGAAGTTTTACTGTCAGAATCTGTTCTATTATCTTTTCATATCTGTGGAGAGATTGAGTGTTCAGCAATGCAGGGGGATAATGTGGCGTACATGTTTTAGATGGAAATCCTCTACATAAAAGTCAGCTTAGCTTGGAACTGGAATTATAATTGCCATTGATAATTGGAGTGCAATTCTGCAATTACACCTGAAATTACCACAGGGTGTAATAAACTTTTATAGATTTTCATAGATTTAAAAGCAGAATATTTTTTAACCATCCTTGTTTTCAATGTTCAGGTGCCATTTAAAAATAAATAACATTGCAAGGTGTTTTAATCTTTAAACAAATCTTTTTGAAACCATTAAATTGTTCTGGCTATAGCATATATTTTTAAAAAGCTGTATTTAAGGTAGAAACCCAACTAATAAAGCATACTGTAGAGGGATAAAACGTTCTTGAGCTTTGCAATAATTTCATATTGCTATTAATCTTGAAAGAAAGAAAAATGACACTAGAAGCTTGACAGAAGTTGATGCTCTGGTTTTGCAGTGTTAAAATCTTATGACGGTACACTTGAGGCCTTTAGGAAAATGATTTACTGCATATTTTTCATAAGCCTTATATTTAGAAGATCTACTATTACAATACGTGTTAAACTTAAAAGGAAAGCTTGAACAATTATATTATGTGTGTGAAAGAAAGATATGTTATAATTATTAGAAAAGCATGGCAATGTCAAGACTGAAGATGAATAATTTTAGTATATATTAACCAATGAACGTTCAATTTGATTTTTTTCAGAAAGAAAAAGAGAGACAGATGACATTAGAGAAAATGAAACAGGTGCAACTTACGAAAAATTCTTTTAGTAAAGAGTAAAAATTTGTCAATGCTTGTACAAGTATATTTTAATGGAGTCAACTATTCTGACATAACAATTACATATACTACATAAAGTAAGATTTAATTGAAAGAGTCTTTATTAACAATGAATATCTCTTTATTTAGACTCCAGACCTCGCTACATCTTCAGAAATTGATAAAATCAAAGCTGTCATAGATCAGTCTACTAAAGGATTTGAACCATCGAAGTAAGAAAATTGGTTTTGTTCTCTCCCCTCCCCTCATGTTAAACAAAAATAATACATCTCATTAATGATGCCTTCACAACAACCAATAAACTGGCTGTCCGGCTATAGATCACAATAGCTGCAATGAAGCTATCCATCTTGGTTCTAATTATATTATCTGAAATATTCAACCTAGACTGAGAAAGTAGCTATCTGTGAAAATCTTAAGCATTAGTTTATGTTAATACTCATTAATTATTTGATCATTTTGGCCCTAAAAGTAATATAGTTTAATGGTTGAGTCTGAGATATTCTTATCATATTCCTTTCAGCTTTGTTGGAAAATTTCAGTCAGGATTCCCACATGAAAATTATGTATGCAAACGGTGTGGACAGAAAGGTCATTATATCACCAACTGCCCTAACAGTAATCCAGTGAGTTCATTTATTTTAAAGCTTTTATCGATATTTTTCTTCACACAGTATTTCTTTCAAAACAAAAAATCTAACCCCAAGTTACACAATTTCACACACAATGCATGTGTTAGTTTCTCTTGCATGGTGCTATTGATTCCACAGCATGTTATAAGAAAATGATTCAGTATTATTTTTTTTGTGCATCCACGGGTCTATGGTTAGTATCTTGAGGGGTAAAATTTATTATAGGAAAACAAAGACTGCCTTTCACAATCATAATGCCCCACATGTTGATAGAAATTTAGTGAATTTGTTATTTACAAATATCATAGAAAAGTCATTTTATGCCCCGATAAAGATCAGTGAGACTCTAATGCAGAAAGAACATATTGCTCATTGTTTATTGCAAACTTTCTAATTACTCTTTTAAAGATAAAAACTTCATATTACACTTCAGACTATTTAAACCACAAAAGGTTTGCAATGTGCACACTTTAAAAATATCTCTAGCAACACTTCGAATAAATTTTTTTACCTCATGTCGTCAAGGTTCACTGTACAAACAAAGTAGCTAATAAGATTACTATAAAATGAAATGGAGAGTAGCTAATTAATATCACATAGTTCATTTCTTCTTCTTGTGCTATTCTCGAAGTACGTAGATTAGCTTTTATTTATATCAGTCCCATTAAATTTACTTTACAATACCGATAATTTTTTTCATAAATATGTCTCAATTCATTCCAATAGGTTATTTCTAAGGATCGCTGAAATTAAGATAAACAGTCTTATGATCATGAATTTTAGTACATAGTGAATTTAAAAAAGTTGTAATTTTTATATTATACATTTTATAATTTAATAACAATATTTGTTACAATTGTTATATTTATATATATATCTTTAGGAAGATCGCATTGTAGAGCCTCGTTACAAGCGCCCAACAGGAATACCTAGCACAATGTTGACCATTGTTGATGATCCTTTACATCCTGGTGCTCTGTTGACCCAACATGGCCAGTTTGCAGTACCAACAGTCGATGTGTATGTACATTTATAAGAATTATAAAATATATCCTGTTGAATTAAAAGTTCAAGAGATTTATAAAACTATTATTAAACATTTTTTACATTTTTGAGTAGTTTTCTTTAAATTGACAATTTTCATTTAATTATTTTTTTTGCTACAGATTTGGCTATAGAGAGACAAAGAAAGAGCGCCCTCCCTTTTTACCCGGAGAAAAGCAAGCAGAACCTGAAAAAAAGAAGATCCCACAGGAGCTGCTATGTCATATTTGTGAGGATCTTTGTGTAGATGCAGCTATTGCCCCCTGCTGTGGTACAAGTTTCTGTGATGAATGTAAGTAAAATCAGTGCTGCTATATCTTTAGTTGTGTGTTATTGTGTAAGCCAGGTGTTAATTTTAACAATTAATTAGCAACTACAAATCTATGATTTATTTTGCAAATTATTTCTTTTACAAAGGTCTACGTGAGGTTTTGCTTGAAAGTGATGACCATCAGTGTCCATCTTGTAAAGAAACCAATGTGTCACCAGACCGTATTGTAGCTAATCGTTCCATGAGGCTAGCTGTCACTAACTTCTTAAATGACACAGGTTATACAAAGGTATTTAATATATTCCATGTATATTTTGTATTTGCATATATTGTATATAAATTTCAATTTAATGGGAAATGAGAGATTTTTTTTGTTGTACATTCATTCAAGTTTTAAAAGTATCTTATTCAAAGAAATTCTTTGATAACGATCATATTTAATTCACCCATGAATTGCACATTTATTTCAAATATTTAATCACTAATTTATTTTTCAATGTTAAGGTAGCAAACCAATGTATGAATATTGTTTAAAAAATCTTTAAATTTGATAATTGTTTAAAGGCCAGGAGACGACGGACAATGTCTTCAGGCGGAGAAGTATCTCAGCCAGAAACATCTTCTCCAAAGTCATCCCAAGTAACAGCTAGCTCTAAAGTCAGTGCCAGCCCTCAGTCTAGTCCTAATATTAATGCTTCACCAGTCTACAATGAGCCCACATCAAGCAAGCAGCCTTTAAGTAGTGCCAACAACTCAACTCAGCCAGCTTCTCACTATGCATCTCGCTCTTTTAATAGCAACTCAGATTCTTCAAGAAATAATAGTGCCTCCAATTATAGGGCTTCTTTTAATTCTCAATACCGCAACTCTCGTCCTCCAAGATTCCCAACTGATCAGTATTCCAAACCATGGCGGTTCCCTAATGATCATGCAATGTCATTTGAGCCAAGCACAATTACAACTATATCTCGAAGGTGTGTTTACTGTACTACATAATTTCAACATACTGTTAATTCCACGTTTGTTTTTAATTTTTAAAAAAAAATTTTTTAGATATTGATATAAAATATTGTTGCACATGGACTATATTCTTTTATTTTAGTATTTAAATTTTTTTTTAGTCTTGGTGCTGAAATTTGCTCAAAACCCATCTCTTTGATTGCAGAGCTGTTTAGCCATTTTCAAATCATTAAACCCGCCAAATGTTGCTATATCAACATAACTTAAATTAGTGCTTATAAATTTCCTTGAAAAGTTAAGTAAAATTAAAGGAATGAGATACATCTGGGGGCATCATTTTATGGATTTTTATAAAATTTTCGATGAAAATATTTGAGAAAGTTTCAGGGTCTTAAAATGTAAATTTTAGCTTAGGAATTCTGCAGACAAAAACAGAAAATAACATCAGGCATGGAACATTAGCTGTGTATACAAATTTTACATTTTAATAATTTTATTTTGTAACAACAGTGAAGATGGCCTTACATCTTTATTAAAACAGTTTTAAAAATTTTTAATTTCCCATAAATAAAGGGCTGAATTTTTTAAGGAAAAAATACATTAATACAATCAGCTAAATAATGTTTTCAGCATTTATTCATATTATTAAAAGGGATGTGAATATCTTTATAAATTCCAATAGTAAATATTTTAAGTCATGATAACTACTTAACTATATTATTTAAATTAATTTGCTTGCTATTTACCTATTAAGTATAACATGTGAGAGAAGCTAAAGATTGATTTATGAAAACTGTACTTTTTATTTATTCAACAAAAAAAAAAATGAATCGTTAAGATGTAAATATATTTGCATGTCTATGAAAAATCAATTGACTTAAAATTTAATTTTATGCTCAGGGCTGACACAGATTTCAAGAACCATTACCCTAGATCTCATCCTGATGAAGTAACATCATACAGACCAGGAACACAGAATGATGAGACCCATACTTCTTCTGACACAGGAAGGTAACTAAATGGAAAAAGCTTGTGGTTTAAATAAAATTAAATGCATTACATTTATAGATGGTCTCTCAATGGTAACTTCATCATTACATTATTTTAAACTATTGGAATATTTACAGTCAACCACACATCATCAGAAAATCAGCAATTATTAAAATGACCATTTCTCCTCACTTTCTCCGGGCCTTTAATCAATGATCAATAAACTCCAGCAGCTTCCCTTTGTTATATTAAACTGATTTTCATAACAAGAGTTCTATTCTCTTATGCTTATAGTATCATATAACCTGTCTGGATGGTGGATTTGGCTATTCCAGGTTTAAATGGTTGAACTTTGAACTGAGGATTCATGTTTTCAATTGAGATTTAAATATTTAAAAATTCAATGCTGCAGAACTTTGCAATTTGAATTACAGGTAAAAGATTTTTTAAAATTCGGCAGATCATAGATGTTATACTTAAAATCTGATGACTTTGTTCATTCTCCCCACATAGATCATCAGGAGATGAACCTGCTGCCCCAGGCACTACTCCTATATCAGCGCCATCTCAAACAAGTGGAAACAAAGATGGATTACTGCCTAAGCCAATAATGCAGTGGTCTCAAATGCCAGTTCCATTAAATGAAACTACTACTAATGCAATGGTCACCAATTCCCACACGGCACTTTTGAATGCGGCCAGGTTTATAATTGCTGCTCAAAGTATGCCACTGTTGACAGTACCGCCACCAGGTCAACGTCCCTTCCCTACTGGTAGGTGGAGCCTTTGTGTCACACTCTTACATACTTGGCTGTTGTTTTTACATTGCGTGATAATCTTGTTCTTTCTGTGTAAAAATTCAATTTAGGCTGCTCACATTTTTTTGAACTAGCTGCTAATATACATACAAAACGATAATAATAATTCTACTCATAAAAATGAAATACCGTAATGAAAAAAAAGCAAAATATTCATACATAAATTGTTTTTGAAAAAAATCAGGAAGCATTTAAATTGCATTGCCTAAAGTAAAATATTTAATTCAATTATCAAATTTTTATTTTTAAAAATGTATCGTCTGTCAGGTTTGCCAGTTTATCCTATGAATCATCCTGGACCAAGGATGAACTTGCCCATTCCATCAGCTGTCAATGTGCCCCCTGTACCATTGTCCAAAGAAGAATTTTACCATGCAAAGAAAATATTTCAACAAACAGAGGCACCTAAAAAGAAGCCTGTGGATGTTTTTGACTCATTTGCTGACTTTACCAAAAGAAGAAGTCGTACACCAGAAAGACGCAGAAGGTAGGTCAATTTTTATGGCGCTTGCAATTTTCTTCTTATTGTTAGTTGATAGTAGACAATTTGTTGATTGCAATATATTCAATTGTATTTAATCATCTCTATTCACAGCTATTCAAGATCTCGATCAGGATCATGGAAACGACACAGCAGATCGCGAAGTCGCTCTAAAAGCAAACGCAGATCAAGATCTCTTTCACCAAGACGATTAAGTTCGCATTCTCGCTCTCGATCTGGCATAAGGTCTTCAGCTAGGTCCCGTTCAAGATCTGGCCCTCGTTCACAGAAAAGTAGATCTCGCTCAAGAAGTTTAGGTCCGCCAAGATTGTCAAGAAAACGATCTAGAACACTTTCTCCATCAAAGAAATCAATTTCTCGCTCCCGATCTCGTTCAGGACCTAGATCTACAAAGCCTCTTTCACCACGAGCTCGCTCACCACTCCCACCTTTACGCAGATCTTCAAAATCACCACTCCCACTGCTGTCTCGCTCACGCTCTAGATCATATAAACGTTTTTCTAGATCTAGGTCTAAATCATGGATTAAACGTGGAAGATCAAGATCATATTCTAGGCCTAGGTCCCCTAGACCATTGTCTAGGTCACCTAGACGTTCCCCATTGCGTTCACCTATTCGTAAACGCTCATATTCACCACGACGGCTGTCAAGATCATACAGTCCTCGTAGAAGGTCCCCTTATCATTCCAGATCCAGAAGTCCTCTCTCAAAGAGAAAAGTTTCCAGGTCAAGAACTAGATCACCACTATCTAAAAGACCTTTTTCACCAATACGATCACCACATCGCTCCAAAAGCCCATATAAAAAGCCTTTATCTCCTGCACCTTTCAGGCGCAAATCTCCATCCCCTTTCAGGGCACGTGGTGGATACAGAGGCAGAGGAAGGGGTGGTTTTGGCTTTAATAGGGATAAGTTCCACAACTATCATAGTCCACCAAGGATACCAGCACCTGTTACAACAGCTGTTCTTTCAGCCAATATGCCACCTGTTCCATATGATCCACAAATGGGATTACCACCTCCTGAAGAATATTTTAAGTACAATCCTTCAGGCTACCAAGAATTTGTGCGCAATTTCTATGCTCAGTTTGGACCTCAAGCTCAGGCATGGGCTCAAAATCAAACTTTCCCCCTTCCTTCTGCAGGTGGGATGACTACACACATGGCAGCTGCTAATCCTTTTATGCCTAACCATAGGTTACCATGGGAAACAGTTCCCATGTCCCCATCCCACCGACCTCGATCCATAACACCTCCAGGTGGACCTTCATCTCGGGACAGAAAAGAACAGAACTACAGGGACTCTGCAAGACCTTGGGAGAAACAGGATCGTGGGGATAACAGAGACAGAAGATTAGACAGAGGAAGAGATGTTGACAGAAATAGAGATGCTGATAGAAATAGAGATGCTGATAGAAATAGAGATGCTGATAGAAATAGAGATGCTGATAGAAATAGAGATGCTGATAGAAATAGAGATGCTGATAGAAATAGAGATGCTGATAGAAATAGGGATGCTGATAGAAATAAAGATGCTGATAGAAATAAAGACGCTGATAGAAGTAAAGACGCTGATAGAAATGATTCTGAAAGAAACAGAGAACCTGAAAAAATAAGAGAAGTAGATAGAAACAGAGATTCAGATAGATTTAGAGATCCTGAGAGAAATAGAGAGATTGACAGACACAGAAGGGATCTTGGAGAAAGAAGGGACCTTGGAGACAGGAGGGATAGAAACAGAGAGGATGATAGAAACAAGGCTAGAGATGCTAATAGAGACAATAAAGATAGAGAAAGAGATAGTCATCGAAGCAGAGATAAAATTCCTGCTGAAAAGAAGAAGAGTCCATCTAAGAAATCAAAAGAAGATGAGAAGGCAAGAAGCAAGGAGAAGAAAAAGTCTGAAAAGAAGAAAGACGAAAAAGAAAATAAGAAAGGCAAAAAGCGATCGGAACCTGAGAACAAAAAAGAAGTTATTGACCAGAAAGATAACTCCCTTAGGAAGACAAGTCCAGTTAGTGATAAAGAACTTTCATCACCATCAAGGGAGGAGAAGTCTATTATCTCTGCAACATCACCGGTCAAGAATGAATTAATAACACTTAATGTCAGTACTAATCCAGCAACGTCCGAGGAATCGAATAAAGTTCCTTTAGCTACAGCGGAGGCCGAGACTGAAAAACTTTTTAACAAAGAGAAGAAAGCTGTTGGCAAGAAAAAGGGAGATGGTGTTGGAGGGAAGAAAAAAACAAAGGATGGAGCCGGTGATGATGGAACCACAGGTGAAAAGAAAGGGAAGAAGACTAAAAAGAAAAAACTAACATTTGGGTCATCTGATGTAGACACCAAGCAAGGTTTGAAGAAAAAAAAAATGAAGAGATTGGTAGATTATAAATCTGAGAACTGCACTTCTGAAGATGGAGAAGAAAAAGCTTCTCTTGTAGGTAGTCCATTGAAGAAGGCTAAACTTGCTGAGCTTAATCAGAAGATTGAAGCCGGCTCTACCGATGCATCTCATGTATCTAGTTCTGAACCTACTTTTGAAGTCAGCACAGAGATAGAGATTAGTCAGAAACCTGAGAAAGTTTCTGAAGATGTAAGTGAGGCTGCTGTTTCACAGTCAGAAGGTGATACCAAACCTGTAACAGAAGTAGTAGAAGGGAAGAGCAAAGATGAGCTTGTTTCAGAGCTACCAGAACTCTCTAAGTGGGAGAGAGATGACTTTGATCTTTTTGAAGCCATAGACCAGCCTAAGGAAAAGCCTCAAGAAAAAATGATGCTGCCAAGGTTTGTCTTTTTTTTTTTCAGTCATTATAAAATTTAAAGCAAAGAATTTTAATGGCAGATATTTTTCTGACAAATCCTTCAGTTTATCTGAAATTTAAAAGTCTCTCAAAAAAGCTTTATTCTCTTTCATAGACTTCATTAGATTTTAAAGGTGTTTTTAATTAGTCTGTCATAAATGAAAACAATATCACTTTACATTGAGATCTGCAAATGAAAAAAAACTTTAAATCCTGAATCTATTCTAAACTTTCGATTAACTACTATCTATCTTGTAAGCTATATTTGTGTTTAACTTCTGATATCTTTGTAAACTTTATTTATCTTTTCAAAATCAATCTGAATAAAAAAAAAATGAGAGCATTGATTTTGAAAAGATAAAATAAATCTTACAAAGATATCAGAAGTTAAACACAAATAAAGCTCACAAAGATTAGATAGAAGTTGTTTATTTACCTGTACCAAAATACTTCCTTGTTGAATGAAATTATTTCAATTTTATTCTCACATGCAGATCTGTTGTTGACAAAGCAGAAAAGTTTCTAACCCACAAGCCTATGAAGAATGCCGTTATGGTTGCTCATGTCACTACCTCAACCAAATCTCCAGAAACTAACGCTGCCCCAGACAAACGCATAAGTGAGTCCACAACATCAAGGCGTGTTTTTATTGACAAAAAAGAGGGTAGAGATAAGAAATCAGACATCCAGATCACTGTAAAAACTGATAAAAATAAAAGTGACAATAGTAGTAAACGTGTCCAGGGATACAATAAGACTGATGAAAGTCGTCATCGTTATCACTATAATGACTATGAAGAAGACCAGCGTTCTGTGGTAAAATCACGATCTCTTGAGCGTGAGTTACAAGAAAAATCAAAACGTCACAGAAGTAAGGAAAAATATTTATCAAAAAGAGACGAGAGAAAAGACAGTCGGTCACACAGAGATGGGGCTGCTGATAGAAGCAGCAAATACGAAAGTGTCAAAAAAGACACCAAGTCTGAATCAACAAGAGAAAAGGCAAAGGAAAAATCTCCAGAGTCAAAAGAAAGACGACATAGCAAAGACAATCCTGTAAGCAATACTTCAGAGTCATTAAAGTCTACTAAAGACTTGCGACTCAAATTAGAAGAGAAAAATAAGTCCAAATCCACAATTGATCCACGAAAACTGTCAGTAATGGATGAGTCTGAGTTTGTTCCAGACTATGAAGATTTAGCCATTGACAATACCAGTGATAAAGAACAAGATGATGCAACTGCTTCCCAGAACTCAGGAACTTCTTCGCCTGAATCATTAAATGATGGTAAAAAGAGGAAGCGAAATGATGCTGAAACAAAAAGTGAAGATGGTAATTCCGAGGCAGACGAATCCAGTAAACACAAGAAATCTAAAAAGAAACACAAACACAAAAATAAAGAAAAAAAAGAAAAACACAAGCACAAAAAGAAGAAACACAAACACAAGAAAAGCAAGGAAGAAAAGGATGGTAAGCAGCAGTCAAATAAAGATGAATCTTCATAATTTACTCTAAGAAATGTGTTTTGTATATGATTATGTTGAGAAACAAAGTGTGTCTGGTTGGTGTAACAATGACTTTCTATTTTAATGACGGGTACCTGCTTATCATAAAAGTAGATAATCTCCATGAACAAATCAAGAACCTGGTAATCAATTAAATATAAATGTAAACATACAACTCTTGTAGTCTCCCAAGACAGCACTAATGTTTTTTGTAAAATGTGAAAACGCATTAGTACAATTAATATTAACAGGATTAAAGTTATGAGAATTTCACTGGGCTAAATGCTCTGGATTCATTTTTTTTTTTTCAAAACCAGGCACATTCATCTTGATGTGGCCTGTTGATTTTTTTATGTTAAATAAACATTTTTTTGAAAATATTTTTTCCCTCGCAACACCCATTAAAGTTTTAGCATTGGGACCATGGTTTTGAATCAAAGATATGATACTGGGCTAAATTAACCCAAATGATTTATTTGGTCTAGAATTGTTTCAATCCTGACATTACTCTTTTTCACATTGCACTTATTGATACCTACAACAACTTGTAAAACTATTGTTTATCAACAAATAAATGATAAGGAGCGCTACAACGCCGGCCTTAGGTAAACTGTTGCCCTGTGCAAAGCACCCATTCGGCGCCCACTTCCCTGTCCCTGTATGGCTCCGCTCTTTTTCAGATTACATCGTAGGCTATGGAGCACGTGTTATGATGCTGTACATGTAGCTAACCATATGCATTGTATGAAAAGTAAGAATACCGTTTCTCGACCCCGGACCCGAGGTTAACACTTCACTATAATAAACTAAGGGAATTTAAATATTTACTGGGTGCCCCAGGCCTCCCTATCAGGGTTTCTTTCAGCTATATCTGCGGTGGAGCACAGCCCCCCCGGAGAAACCCAAGTGGCCCCACCCCCCGGAGCAAAAATATGCCCAACAATAAATCAGCTGGCACTGCCGCGCACCCCCCCCCCCCCCCCGGGGGGAATTTTTGAAATAGTCACTAGTCCCTATGGCCACGGCTTTCCTGTGCGAGGGCACAGGTAGCACATCCTAAAGGCCGGCGTTGGGAGCAAAACTACAGTCATTGCGAATTAGCTCAGAGGCTGCTTATGCAGAAATGTAGTACCTGTACACCTAATGATTCTTACACTTACATAAGTGAATAAATCAAAAAAGTTTTTTAGATACAACCAAATTGGTATATGAGATGCATTTCTAAAAGTGTTGCAATTTCTAAGTGTTGCAATTTCATCATTGTGAAAGAGGATCCCAAATACCTCTTGGGGCTTATACTTTAATTTTCTTTCTTATAATAACTTTTGTCAATGCAGCATTTTAAAGTGTTAATGTAATGAAATCACACAAGATTTCAATTATTTTCTTCCTGCTTCAAAATGCTCCAATTTTTAAGAGATAATATATCTATTATTCAATTTACTTCCCTATTGTTAATAAATTAAATGTTAAGTAAGTACTGGCGAAGGTCTCATGCACGCACTTGAAATAAAACAAAGTAATCTCTGCCACTAACATTTGCAGATTTTAAGTGCAATGATTAAATTAACAAAAGAAAAATGCACATAACATCTATGGAGTCTGAATAAATAATGGTTTTGATGAACAGAATTATATACAAATTAAAGGGAGCAATAAAAATCTAGTAGCAATTTAAAATTAAAAAAAAAAATTCTTTAGATCATAATTCCAACACTTCTTTACCATAAATAATGATAAAAGTAAAAAATAAATTTTAATTTTTTAAAATATTGCAAAAGTTTTATATTCAGCTCATGCCCTTCCAGTCATTCTACAAAAATGGCTGTGGGGATTTTTTCTTAACAAATAAAGAAGAAAATAAGATATTTTGGATTTTAACAGTTGCAAATGGCATCTGACAGACTTAACTAAATTTATTTTGATTTTTCACTTTTAACCCTATTATTCCCGTTTAAGAATTTAATTTAAAAAATGAAATCTCTTTGCGTGACCCATATGAAAATTTAGCGTATAGACTCATATGATATTAATTGACATTTTTAGACATAACAAAAAAAACACTTCCACAATCTCTATGATCTTATTTAGTTAAACATGGCTACCAATTATTTACATGAAATCTTGATAACGCTACTGTAGATTATAAATAGCAACTTCAGTATGGACTTGACACATTCAGTCACCGAACTTTAATTCACAGGTTGTCATTGGAACAGGAGAAATGTTATATTTTGATTTTTGTTTAAATCATGTTAAAGGGGCTTTTAAAGGTGTATTACAGATGTAAATACTCTGATCAGTATTCATGTTCATTTCTCAAATCATTCTCACAAATATTTTTCTTTACAATTTGAAATTTGTGTGAGAGGAAATTTGTTTAATGATTTATTTTGTGTGTGAGGTTAATAACTTTTGACTTAATTTGCATTATTATCTATACTAATCTTCACTTTATTACCGGTATATTTAATTCTGAAAAAGATGGACAAGCCAGAATTTTATCTCATAAAATATTAAAGGCAAGACTTGCTGAAGTCTTAAAAAAAATCTCAATCTCAAGATGTACAATTGAAGACATTTGATGAAGTGCTATATGTTGCCAATGATTTAAACTTGTAAATGGCTTAAATAGCAAAATCTTTCGTTTTTTTCTTCATGAAATAGGAGCCTGAACCACTTTAACCACTCGCTCATCTTGGGCCCAAACTTGTAGCCCTAATGTCTATTTTGTATGGCTATTGAATTATGTTTTCCATAAAACATAAATCACCAGTTATTCAGGTTCTTCTATATTTCTTTAAACAAATGTAACTGGTATTCATTTATTAAAACAATACAAAATGGAAAGTTTAAGTTTACATACATAATGAGTTTAATAATGTATTTTTTTCTATAATTGTTGCCTAATTATTAATAAACAATAATGTATATTTGTAAAGATTTTGTAATTGTTTTTATATTCAAATAGCAATTTAGTTTGATAATAGTTTCAATAGGAAAATTAATAAAGTTTATGAAATTACTTTCGAGGAAACGAGCGCTTCCAGCTAAAATCTGTTACCTTGATTAAAGTCAATACATTTGAATAATTTATCTTACCTTAGCATTGTCTCTAATACTTGAGCTTTTTTCCATCCATTATTAGAATGGATACTGAGACTTGAGTTGAATATGATTAGAAATTAACAAAATTCATGTATTTTATTACTTATTTAAACCACTCATCATGGAAACAATTGTAATAAAATGTCTTTTTTCCTTTTACATCCATTCTTGTATCTTATAATTAGTTATAACTAATTTTTTTAGTTAACTTGGGATGTCATTAGCTTAATGACCTACCATTTACTAGAACTATTACTGTCTGTATAGTTATTGGTAATTGTTGACATTTGTTTGGAACATTTCACTAATTTCAGAGTAGTGGCTTTTCAAAGAGAAAGAACTTGAGATGGGTGAACTTTATTGTCTCATCCTAGAGTGAATAAATATGATAGTGATAGAAATTTAGAAAGAAATGTACATTTAATTTTGATGCCATTGTATTGAACATTGATGCTCTGTCGTTTATTGTTACATTTATGTTGTTGAACTATAAAAGAAATAAACTCTTCTTAACATAACTGATTTTCTTGCATTGTGTGTATTACTGTTTTATACTTATGGCTTGTGTCAACAGTTAAATTTTGTTCATATAGTTACTATGAAAGGGATTCTCAGACCCAGGAACAGCAATTTTATAATTATACAACAGATAAGTAGCACATGCATGGAAGGATGCGTTGGATTAGGCCAGAACCCTCCATGGGCTGGGTGGAAGGATGCGTTGGATTAGGCCAGAACCCTCCATGGGCTGGATGGAAGGATGCGTACGATTAGGCCAGAACCCTCCATGGGCTGGGTGGAAGGATGCGTTGGATTAGGCCAGAGCTCTCCATAGGCTGGATGGAAGGATATGGTGGATTACCTCCATGGGCTGGAGGGAGTGGGGCTGGATGGAATGATGTGGTTAATTAGGTCAGAGCTCTCCGTGGGCTCTGGCGCCATTGATGATGATTTGGGGAGGGGTGGGCTGACCACCTGCGATAATCTCCTCAGTTTTGTCTTGAGCATGTTAAGATCCATGGTTTATAGAACTCAATGTACCTGAATCAAATCGACGAGGTGTTTTATAAACTTCTGCGTGATAATAATTAATTTTAAGTTGAATCGTATTCTAACAATGTTACTGGGCCTCTGTATCACTGATGCCTCCATGCTCCCAATCATGGGCACCCGCAGGGGGGGCACTTGCCCCCCCCCCTCTGGATTGATTGGATACAAAAATTTTAGACAAAAATAGACAAAAATTTTTTTAAAGTAAAGAGAAAATAAAGAGAAAGTAACTAAGCTGATGTCCTGTCCGTTCTTTCACCATACAAATACGCTACAGTAAATTAAAACTACATTAAAACATAACTAAAAATTTGTTGCCCCCCCCTGGATAGTTAATCGATTTTTGTTGCCCCCCCCCCCAGAAAGTTTTTTTAAAGTAAAGAGAAAATAAAGAGAAAGTAACTAAGCTGATATCCTGTCCGTTCTTTCACCATACAAATACGCTACAGTAAATTAAAACTACATTAAAACATAACTAAAAATTTGTTGCCCCCCCCTGGATAGTTAATCGATTTTTGTTGCCCCCCCCCCCAGAAAGTTTTCTGCGGGCGCCCATGCTCCCAATTAACGTTACTGACGATATCACTCTGTACTAGATAGTCTACTGATTGAAGTGATAGTTCATGTTCTCATCTTAATTTTACATTATCGCAGGACTTCGTGGTTTTGAATTTCAATAGTTCCAAAGATACGCAGGGCCCATTGGATACATTAAACTCAATTGGTCCTCGTGATCTATAGGGATATAAAGGGAAACATTCATATCATTAGGCCTATACTATGTATAATACTGTGGTATTTTACAATGAAGAACGTGAGTTCGTGTGAGGCCATTTCAAGACAGATTCAGCCATGCCTCTATTTGCATCGACAGGTCCAGTTTTTACTAGAGGTAAATAGGCCTACCAAATTCAATACTCTATAATTGCATTCGTTTTCTAATCAATTCAATCTATTTGAATGCTTTTCCCCTGCTTCTTATAAGATATATATCCTAATTGTACATATCAGAGTTGCACATAATTTACCAACAACTTTTTCAGTACTTCTGTATTCTTTATATGAAGGGCGGCATTTGCGGCCAACTGCAGAATTTCTTTCGTGGACCATCAAAACTGGGAATTGTTTGTATGTCGTGGAATAGGGCCTATAAAATAGGCTATATATAATTAAGATGCTATACTCCCATGGGCGTCTGCAGACGTTTGTGTGTGTGGGTGGGGGGGGGAAGCAAAGTTGTTTGTTTTTATTTTAAATGTTGGAACTATGACTAACAAGAATGCTGAAGGCACACGTGTATGTAACTTGAACTAACTTACGGCTTTGCTGAATGCATTTACGAATATTTATTAACTCAAGTATAAATATTCGTAAACAGTATTAAACAAAGCCGTAGTTGGTTCAGGTTACTCTAACACAGTTAACGGATATCCTTCTTAATTGGTGTGTAAACATGTCATGTCAGAAGTGGTGAGTAGGTAGGTTTAAGTAGTCTACATAATTTAGAAGCTTAAAATTGTTATTAATAGTATTTAGACATAATGTAAGCAAAATCTAAATTGGTTGGGGTGGGGGAAGCAGCCTACGTATACCCCTAAGGAAATGTTAATATTCCTTAATAGGAGTGGGGATGAACGAAAAAAAAAAAAAAATGCTGGTGATGTTTAGGACACAATACAGTTTAAACCATTATTATCATCACTTCTGTTGATTCACTGTCGCCTGTGCATGTGAAGCGATACATTTGATATTTATGTAAACTCTTCTTAAAATTTCAATGCAGAAACTTCTTTTGAAGAAATTTCTTATTAAGAGTCTGTACTTTTTATTAAAAAGGTTCATAAATTGCCAAGGGGGACACTCGCCCTGGGTGCCAATTCAATATCAAAATAGTCTTTAGATAGGACATTTATAGTGAATTAAACGATAAAACCCACCTACTTCACAGGGGCCGTCCATAATGTACGTCACGCTATTTTTGACAATTTTTGAAAATGATTTTAAAGCTATTAAATTCTACTAAAATAAATAAATAAAAAAAAAAAAAAAAAAAAAAATAAAAAAAAAATAAAAAAAAAAAAATGTGGTGCCCCCCCCGAGGCCCTCCCCCCCCCCCCCCCGGTCACAAACGGTCACACTTTCTTACACCCCCTCCCCCACTCTGGAGCGTGACGTACTTTATGGACGGCACCCACAAAGAAAAGGGGTGCCAAAAGCTGTGTTTTACTGGTACACCCCGGGTAGCACTTTTTAAATCTATTGCGGGGCGCTTTTTCAGGCTTCACCCTGGTGCCGTCTTTTTCTCGACATAGCCCTGGCTAGGCCTATGTGAGGTATGTGCTAACTTTTCCTCCACGTCCACGGACTGTAAGTCTATTTACAAAAACGGTTTTTACAAGAGCACTTGCTCTGCTGGATAAAAAACAATTTTAAAACAACAAAGAAAGAAGCTACCGATTTCTGATTATTTTTTTTTTTACCAGTTTCGTGTGATCATAGAAGAGCATTTTTCTGCTGCAATTTCTAACGCACAGATTTTGGGGTGGTGGTGGGTAACAGTTAATAATATAAAACATAATAAATTTACAAAAAGACTACAAAAACTTGCGAATTCTAAATATGAGAGATTAAATTCATTTTAATACAATCACTATAATACAAAGATGTTTCGAAAAATTGAAATAAATGCCAAGAGCCCAGAAGGTGCTTTAAAAAAAAAAAAAGGATATTGTACCAATATTTTATTTTCATATTTTTTCGTTAAATTCCTGCGGTTTTTATCATTTATCTGTTGCATATCGAGGTGACCTCGCTTCTTAACGCGCCTTCTCGTCGAAACTCGGTGTGACATCATCATGACAAAAGGTTCCGAAACAGGTGATTGAAACAATGTCAACAACAACAATTGATTTGTTTCCAACAGGCTAACTCCCCTTTTTCATGAACATTATAAAGTGCTATAAAGGTCGTTTATGAGTGTCTTTCACAACCCTCATTAGTTTTGTAAGTCATTTCAAAACAGTCAACTGCGCCATTTCCTCAATTTCATCATTTGATGAACTATCATAAACTTCAACATTCAACCGATTCAACCTTAACAAAACTTAAAAACATTAATCATGAAAGAATCCTTTTCAGTGTATTTCGTTTTTATTGCAAACTTCTAATAATAGGGACATACAGGTTCCTGGCAACTAAGTTTTCATAGTTAAGGCTGGTCAAAATTCAAAGTTTATTATTATTAAGTAAAATGACAAGAGGTGTTGATCATTAGCATTATCATTAGTCATTACAGTTACATCATTACTGAATTGAATTACTGTCATCACTGATGGCGGCATGGCCATCTATTTATTAGTACTTAGCAGTATTACAGTAATATTTCGTCCACCCTATGTTGAACGTGCGTGTGACACCCCCCCCCCCCCCCCCCCCCCCCCCCTTTCCCCCCCCCCTTCCCGCCAATGTTTCCCCCAATGTTTTTTCCTGGCACCTGTGCCAAATTTTGGTTTTCACCAGGCGCCCTTTGTTAAATTCTAACAAGTAAAATTCAAAACAGTGAATGAATGCATAAACAATATAGAATAAAGGGTTAAAATTATGAAAATTGTAATATTTCGCTGCGCTCCTGTAAGGAAGCCAAAGCAACCCAGGACATGTCCATGCTGAGGAAATTTGGCACCCTGGGGCGAAGCCGGAAAATGGTGCCACTTAATGTATAGAAAAAAAATGGGAGGTCAAAAGCTTCTTGTACGTATACACTGGGTGGGGGTGAGTCCTAAAAGTATGCGTGCAACAGGGGAGGGGGTAGAAAAATTTTACTTTGTATTGCGTATGTACTAAAAGGATGGCCCATTACAGTAATGCCTAACTAAAAGTAGTAACACATGCACTGACTATGAATGCTTGAATACCATGCAATTTGGCTGCATTGTCTTCATGATAATGTTGTTAGTCAAGGTGCCTCTTAAATCATGATTACTAGTTAATTAGCCAAATAATCTGAATGAGAAAAAGTAGAATTAACAAAATATCAATGACTCTGAAAGACGGGAATGACTGACAGTAGGGACTTCGGTAATGCCCGGGATCACCAAAAAATTGGTTATTGTAATTTCATTGTCAAAATGGCAACATCCACAGAGGGTATAATTTTTTCAGTTTATTTTCTATTATTAGCGTAATAATAAATTCTACACCTGATAATTACTTAAAGCTGACGTCTTACTTGTTCTGTTAAGAATTTATTTGAATTTTTTTCAAGGTTAAAGCTTTGAAAATTGAATTTAAAAATAGGTAAAATGTACTGATAAAAATAAAATAAAAAAAAAAAAGGTTCAAATCTAAAATAAAAAGGTTTCTTTAATTTATTATATCATTTATAGCATATCCAAATTCATGAGTGTAGACCGTAGGTAGGCATAAAAATTGAAAATCAAAGAGGTCACTTTTTTGGGTTATGTAATTTGTCATGGCCATCATGCTTGTCTGCATAATTATCGATAGTATATAATATTATAAATTGTAGTCTATTTTTAGACCTTCTTTTATCAAAAAAATTTTGCCAAAATGATAGTCGTTTTCCCTTAACTGCGCATGCTCTTTACAAGTTTCGGATATGAATTGTCATACCATACTGCGTTGACTGAATTTTTTTTCTGTTCAGTTTGCCATTCAATGGATTTTGGGTAAGTTAATTGTAAAATATAGTTAATAGATATTAAATTGTAGTTTTTAAATAGTCAGGTAACTGTTATGAATAGAAAACTACATGTCTGATCGCTGAATAAATTGACCAGTTAGCCTTACCAAATTTGAAGAAGCAATAATAGAAGCCTTCGCTTAGTTCTACCACATGACCAAAGTAGAGGAATTTGATTTATAAATTTTAACAAACGGTAGTAGGCCTTTTATCTATAATATTAACATTGACATGTATTTTTTTAATGGAGCAAGGCCTTTTACTTTATTTAAGTTACGTTTGAGTATGAAGTAGGCCTTCTAAATAGGCTAATAAATATAAGTAAAGTTATGTGATAGTTATATTACTTTAGAGTAGCATAGTTTACTATGACTTTGTAACTTCATTTAAAAGTTATTGAAACTAGCTGATGCATCCATTTGAGACTGACGTAACTGTATATAGTTAGTTCTTATATATAGTTAAAAATTAAGTTATGCACTCTTTGTTCTAGGTTTACTTTGCAGTATTATGCGCACAGTTGTGTAGGAGGCTGGGGGCGGGGTAGACTTTAGACTTAAGAAATAAAAAAAGTGTCAGTTTGGCAGTCGACCCATTCCCCTACCGAAAATCTGGGCCATGCCATTACATAGACAGACTTATGCCTATCTTGGTATATCTTTTTTCTCTGTATTATTAGTTAAGTCTAAGTACCAGTACCAGTATAATATAGTCCATATGATGTGTGCCCTAGTGTAAACCTAATATGATAATATATTAAATCTATTTTGTTTCACTATTCAGGGTCTAGGGTAAATAAAATAATGCCCAACAATTCCTTAGAAGACGGATGGTTAAGATAGAAATCCTGATGGAACAAGCCATCACTGCCACTCTATACTGGAAATTGACTCTGAGTCAATCCCAAGTTTGTGGACTGGAGTTCAATCCCCAGAAAATGCCTAGCCAATCAAAAATATTACCAGCACCTCGGGTAGATGAGATGCGTTAACCTTGGATGGCAATTCATCTTAGAGAAGGCAAACTCTGAAATCAAACCTGGAGATGGAGTCTCAATATGAAGAAATTAATGTCTTATTTTAAGTGTATGGCTCGTTCTAAAACAGTACATAACAAAAGATGGTACCATATGAGAAATACAATAGCAAAGAATACGACACTCAAACCAGGGCTAATTACAATTAATAAGTTTTATTAAGTTACTAATAAATTACAAAATCAAAATAAGAAATATAATTAAAGCTATTGACTTACAGAGTACTGTTTTTCTTGTACCGGTACAAAGTTGATGAAAATGCAATGTGCCAAAAAGAGTACAACGATGAATAGGAATCCACACATATACAGCAAACAAAGCTCTAGCAAGAATAACACACTCTCAAAATAACTCTTGTCTGTCGTCCTGTAAAGTAAAAATATCTCCTGATAAATGATAGCTCAAAAATCTCTCGTGTCCCCTTTTATAGTCTTTCACTGATAAATCTAGAACCGCCTTACGCATTGTTTTCCTTTCCAGTTTTCTCCAGATTCTTCTCCAGAATTCTAATGGATACAGACTATTAATTTTATTTAGTTGTAAACAAGGTCAAGAGACTATTTTTAGCTAGCCACACCTTAAATGCGGCCTCGAGCTTGGTGTATGCTAGAGTTGATGGCGTAAAAACATCGTCTACATAACAGAGTCCCATAGGCATTATGACATAGACACAATGAAATTTCTGACAAAATCCTATGATGTAGAATGCACTGTGAAACACACAGACCCACACAATGTGTGTCATATACTGCACCCTGGTCTATTTCCAGTCATTTTGACTAAGTCTTGTCATTGGATCAAATAGGCAAAGACGAGAGAGTGAGGCTGACGAATTTATCAACTCTGTCTAAATTTAAGCACAATACAGCTTAAGTCAAGGCTACTACTCAAGTCTTCATTCATCTTCGTGTGAACAGGACAAACAACAATACTGGAAATATTGCTATCAAATATATATGCAGGACAGTTCTCGGATGCCATTTTGAGGGGAAAATGAATAATAGCATTTATCATCTTAGACTTGGTGTAATTCAACTTTGGATTTTTTTCCCTACCTTAGGTGTCCACTTCTGCAACTTCTTAGTCAAAGTGTATGTTCGTAAATAAATATTACTCATTTGTGATTCAAATGGCTTATTTTATAACTTTATTAGTTGTTTGTTGTCAACATCAAGCACATCTTATAACAAACAAGTTACTCAATTGTGTGTGAACTGAAACTAGAGTATCTACACATCATTAATCAAATAATTGCTTTAGCATTGTCAGTCCTAGGATTAAGTGCTATATAAGTGCATTTATGTCCAGTTACTACAAAAAATGTTATAAACATTTAGGATCTTTTTTAAATTATATTTTTAAAAATGTCCTGGTATTTTGTATTTTTTCCTAGAAAAGTCCAGGAATTTTTGTAAAGATTTGAGGCAGGAATCTTGTGTGATTTAAAATGCATAAAATAAATAAAAATGTAAAATATATTCACTTACCTTTGATATTTAAATATAACATATTTAATCACAATATTCCCAAATGAATTATTATATAATCTTAAATACTCTCTAAGAAAAAAAAAACAATTTCTGGCACAATAATCCAAGAATTACTTAAGATATTACTAAAGAAAAATCATAATCACTAGTACTTACCTCAAGCAAATGACTAGAACTTAGTAGAACTTATTTTAATTTCTATCAACCCCCAAAGATGATTCTAACAATACATGTTGATTTGTAAAACAAGATTACTACTAACTTAAAATAAAAGACATTATTTTTTGTGTGGTCATATTCATATATATATATATATATACACACACATAATAGTTAAATAAAAAGTATAATTGTCAATTTTAACTAAATGAATCAATTAATCCTTGAATTATTTTAACAGTTTAACAGTTTCCCAGGAAAGTTGAACTTATTACCGAACAGATATTATTAATAAAATAATTAATTTTGTGAAATTAAACACAATGTATACTTAAATATAATTAATTCATTAAATACAAATAAGTGTCAAGTCAGCATATCTTATCATCTTAATAAAGAAAGTTATAAAGATTACAATTTTTTGGGGGTGATTACTAAAATAATGACTACATTTATATTTTGTGGATTTATTAAAAAAACTAACATCTAACAATATTCTCTGAAAATATTATATTTTTATCTCATTTTATAGTAAAGTTATAGGCCTAAAAACAAAATCAAAATAATTTCATGAAATGTGGAGGAAAACTCCATAGTAAAAAAGGTGGTTCTTAGGACCTTACAAAAAATTAATAACTTTTGAACCACTTGAGCTAAAAAGTTTATCTTGTTCTTTTTTATTAACCATTTTCTAGGTTCTGTAGGGCTGTAGCATTTTTATGTTTTAAAATATGTTAAGAAATTATCACCTAAGTGCCTAGTGACAGTTACAATGAAAAGTTTATCTTGGAGAATGTGTAAACCATGAAGTCATTCATTTCATTGGTAATGCCTGACTCTATTACTGACCAATTATTTGGCTCTCTCTAGGCAAGGCCATATTTCTGGAGGCTAGTTTTCTTAAATTAAAAAAAATAAATTATAGGCTAATGGCCTAAATGTTTTGAAGTTTTCAACTAAATAATAAAATATTTGTAAAATTTAAACAATAAGATTATTTATTGACCCGATTCATTTCATATCCATTCAAAATTAAAACATCTAGGCATTTGGTAATAATTGCTGGCTCTACTGCCCAAGAAATAAATCTAGATAATGTCCAGTGTGACTTGACTTGCATAAGCCTTAAATGAACTTTAAAAGTGCCCTATTTTTTTTCTCCAATTTTTGTCTTTCTACAGTTTTATTTATTAAAAGACAAAATCTCTTTATTCTAATTTCAGGGCATAGAATATGTTTAGTAAATATAAGCCAGTAGAAAACTTAAACACAATTATTTATGAAGCTAATGGATCAAGATACATATTTTCTGACAAACTTAATTCAATAACTGTTGCATATATCATTTTTGTGATACCTTGAGCCTTTTTAGACAATTTTTTTAAAGTTAATATTTTAAAAATCAATTTCTTCATTTAGCCAAATCGGAACACTATCCTATGTTTAGGAGTGGGGAAGACATGTGACATGTGATGGATGGAGCACCACAGGAGCCCAAGGATGATGTCACGATGGAAGATGCTAGAGGAGCAGCAGGAGGAGTGGTGGATGAAGCACGAGAAGGAAGTCCTTCTGCTTCTTCTGCTTTGCAGTCTGTAGCTGATTATTTGAATAAAGTTAATGCTCTTACAAAAAAGGTCTGTAGTTGTGGTTTGTTTAAAGAAAAAACAACACCTTTTGATTTAATAATGCAACTTTTTATTTATTCTTACCTTAAACCATTAATGGCCAACTAGCAAGTAGAATGCAGCCTGGCATGTTAAGTATCATAGCCCACCTGATGCCAAATGTAATATCAATAAACTTTTTCTTTCTTGATTCAATGTTTGCTCTTTTCATTGTTATTATTATTATTATTAACCAACATTTGAAATTAATGAACTATGATTTTTAACTTTTTTAAAAATGTTTGATCTTAAGTAAAGCTATTAAATTCATTGCATACATTAATTAAAAAGATATATCTATATTTTCATATTCCCTACTATTGAAAAATATGCTGATGAATTAATGAGAATATTGGCTGCATATGATAGTTGTTACTCAGATCTTAGATTTCATGGGATGACTTAACTGATTAGCTATCACATTGAAAAACCAGTATGTTTGCTTTTGTTAACCTTATGGCTTGTTGCCATGAAAAATGCTTGCTCACTAACCTCAAAATACGATAAATATAACATTTAAATTTTTTGTTTAAATTCTGACTGTCCCAAGTGTTTTTTTTAATTAAATTCCCGTCAATAAATTAAAATCTCGAACTGAAACAAAAATAATAAAATAACTGTATAACTTGTTTTACTATGAAACAAACTGTGACGCTCAAAGAAGCTCATGGCCATGATCGATTGGATGTTTGGCTCTGCCAGCAGCTAATTGTAGTTAACCAAACCAGTTAAGTTTCCCCCTGGACTTATGCCAACTTAGATTTCATTGGAGGACATTACTGCACAATGGTCCTAACCTAAAACAATACATTTTTAATTTAAAATGTATATAAACACCTGAAAACTACACCAATAACCTTATACACGTCTTATAATCACACCAGTTACCTTACACCTGATATTTTGCCAAAAAGTGGGTGCTTTGATACACAATGTCCCATGTTATATTCTTAATTGAACTACTTTTTTAATTAGATATATGTATGATTTGTTTTAAAATTAATAGAATACACTTAATCTTCTCATGTTTAGAAACAACATAAAGATGGCTTAGATGTTTGCAATGAAGGTAATAATGTTATATATATTTCCTCCTATTCCAAATATCTCTATAAATATGCCGTTAAAAATATTAAAGCTTGGACTTGATACTAAAAACATTTTTTTTTAATATTCATTTACTGAATACGGAGTTATCTTTTTTAAAAATTCACCAACAAAAGCTAAAATATCCAGTTTAACACTATAATAAGGTAAGAGCTAATATCAATGTCCAGGAATTATGCCTTATGCTTTCTTCCTCTATTCTACAGCTTTAAATGTTTATCCTGGTAAATCAAGACTATTAGAAAAGAAAACAAAATTATTATGTCAGTTGCTTCTGTTTCAAGAAGCTTTTAAACTAGTAGAAGAATGGATTCAATTGGACCCACAGGTAATGAAATAATATTTTACTTTAAAAAAACAACTTTTTTTATTAATCCATCAATTTAAAAGTCTTAAAACAGAGGTTCCCAAACTTATTTGGCCTACCGCCCCCTTTTTAGAAAAAAATTACTCGGGGCCCGTGAAATAATCATTCTTTAAGCAAACAAACAGAATGTATCTGTATTTCTACTTATGTCCCTAAAGTATAGTAGAGAAAAATTTTGTAAATAAGACACTTTGAATCTTGAAGTTATAAAATTATTTATTACAAACACAGAAAATTAATATATTGAAGAATAAGATAAAAATAAAATTTATGAATAACATTAACATTTTATTCAACGCACCCAAATGCACCCGAGGCTACTATCACCTCCCTGGATCGTTCCAGTGCCCCCCAAGGGGCGGCATTGCCCACTTTGGGAATCACTGTCTTAAAATGTAATCTATTTTTAATCCCACCTGTATGAATTCTATTCTACAAATTTCTTAAAAACTAAGTAAATATTTATTACATAATTTTCTTGATTCAGAATTCAGCTGCTAAGCGAGAACATGATAAATTAAAAATAATTTTAAGTGCTGTTGAGGATCCTGATTCTGATGAGGAAGAAAGAGATGATCCTCCACAGAAAGAGGAAAAAACTGAAGATGGCACAGTAACTGAAAATAGTTTTGAACAGAAAGTTGATAGCAACAAAAATGTTGCAGGGAGAGAAGTGGAAACATTTAGCAACACCAGTAAATCCGCTTTCAAAATTTATGGCAAGCCTTTGTCACCACAGCATAAAAACAGTGAAGGTATTTAATCATTGTTTCTAAAAAATCAATATGAAATGCATTGCTTAAAGCTATAAAATTTCTATCATGAAATTGCTGAATCAACTAAAAACATCCTCAACCTGAGATTTTAAAGGCAGTTCATTAGCATTTGCAAAATTATATATTTTAACAGTTGATGTTGATGAGTGGCAATACAGGGCACCACCCAGGGGTCTCGCTAGCGATGAGTACAGCTTATGCAAAAGGTAAACATTGGAATGAAATCAAATTATGTAGCTCATTTTAAAATACATTTTTTTAATGAATGTGTGGAATAATTAAATTTAAGTGGAACAACTTGGGCTGATGGGAAGGTGTAAATCGTTGTTGATATATGCTCCAAAATTTGATGTGCATCAACATAAAAATCAACATTTCTGCCAGATGATGTGCTTTCAACATTTTAATCTTATCTGTTTTAAATTTTAGATTTATGGAGACAGGAAGGTGCACATTTAGGGAAAAATGCACAAGAGCTCATTCAGAGGCTGAATTGGAGGAGTGGAACCATCGTTATGCTGTGAGAAAACAACAGTTACTGCAGTCCCAGGAAGCTAGAGCACATGGTGGCACTTACATTGAGCAGCTGTTGGAAAAACTCATGTCTCAAGAGCCCCCCAAGATGCTGGTAAATTAAGTATTAAGTTGAGGATCATATCTCAGATATTTCTATTCTAATGACCTGAGCCTTACTGTGTACCGACTATTTGAAGAAATATTTTCAGCAAAATCAATTTGAGATTAGTAATGTTACTCGTAAGAGTCAAGATCCTACACTTATTAACATTTGTGTTAATTGTTGTTATATCTCTAGAAATTACTTTGGAACTATTCATCTTGCAATGTATTATGTATTTATTATTTTAAAAAATGCTCAAAAGAAGTTTTGGTTTATTTTTTATGTTGACCACAGAATGGTCAGTCTATTTGAATTTTATGGTAATTACTGCTATAAAAGATCCTTGTTTTAAAATTGTCCTGTAAAAAAAAAAAAAGCTTAATTTATGATCTCATTTTTTATCAGTTGGTTGAAAACATGGAACCAGTCAAAATTCATGTTAACTCTGACTTGAAAGTAAGCATGTCCACCAAAAAATGTACAAATGCCTGGACATTCACAGTGACCAGCAAGGTAGGCTATTTTTTGTTGAAAGGCTTTCATTCTGATATGATTGAAATTATCATTGAAAAATAGACCAACTTAAATTTAAAAAAAAAATTCAATTTTTTAAATAGATGCTTGTGCAATATTGATAATTGTACTAACTATTATTTTTTAGATGATTAAAGCGCTCAATTTTTAGTCAGATTCTTATTTTCATACACAGAAAATAAAACTATTTAAACAGTTATTATAGATGATGGCCAGCAAACTATATGACGTTGGGGAACTTCAGTTTTTGTTAAACTATTGCTTTTGTTTCTACTGATCAGCTGTGTCTCCACTGTGTTGCATTGATGTCAGACACAAACCGTAGCTACTTTCACATCTCCAGTATTTCTGTGGGGCCAAGAAAAACACAAAAGTATCAGAATTTAGAGAATCAGTGTCAGGAGTGGGTTAACCAAGACACACAGAGCAAAGGTCAAGGAGAATATGTCTATAGAGTCAAAGTGAGTCACTACGTCTATAGTATTTTACTGAATACTTGAAAATCAGTTTTACCTTATTGTTCTTTCTTTTTCTTAAAAACCTAACTAATATGTTTTAAATAGTCATCATCTATCAGGTAATTATGTGAATTCTTCTTCTTTTTCATTGGAGAAAAATCTGCAGTGATCAACTGTCATTTCTTCAAATTACAAATAAATCATCAAATTTATGCATGACTCCTGCTTCTTCATGACTTAAAGGTATTTCTCAGACCCATGCAACTCATTAACACTTTTATTTTCTTTGTATTGCTGATATCTTTTAGGTAGTTTTCAAAACAGACATCTATGGAACCTTCCGCCAATCTATTGTTTTTGATTTTGGGGTGGAAGCAATTCTAATGCGAGAGGTTCAAGTTGAATCAGCCCCTGCCACTGATCCTGAAAAGATTCGCAAAGAAATTACTTTGACAGAGGCGCACAGATGGAACGAAAAGACCGTTACACTTGTAAATTTTGAACCAAGGTCTGTTCATAATTTGTGATTAACATTATTCAATCAAAATGTCTGATCATATGATTGCGCTGTATAGAAGTTATGAATTCCCATCATTTCCATGGATGTATTTTAAAATCTTCAAATGTAATTTAATCAAAATGTCTTCAGGGCGAGGCTTGCATTTAGATATGAATTTTGACAATATATCTATTTAAAGCAGGCTGATATACTTACTGGATGAAGACATAAAATAATGCAGTAGTAGAAATCAATAAACATAGTTCTGTTTTATTTTCTCACATGGTGCTTTGTTAAACATACAAGTTCCTCTAGAGCCAAGTAATATATCAAACATCAACAAACTAGCAAAGACTGTCCATTTTGTTTCAGACCAGTCTCTTACAGTGAACCTGAGGCAGCATTGATGGCCAAATACATGCTTCCCAAGCCTGACAAGTTCTGTCCTCCTGAAACAGTTATGCACAGCCTCAGTAAGGAGAACTATAGATTATGGATGCATGAAATGCTTTATATTGAAGAAATGGCTCAAGTAGGATATGTATCCAGGTAAATAAAAACATGACTATGCTCTATTAAAGGTGCACTGTTTAAATAAGAGAATGTGTCCTGTGTGTGTTCTTATTAAGTAATAATATATTGAAGCGTAAAAGTGGGTCCTTTTAAAATGTGTTTTTATTTTCCCAGGTTCAATGTAACAACATCACTTCAACTAGTGAACAGGTTTCTGCTTATGCCAAGTTTGTTGTCAACAGCTAAATATGCTCAGGGTGGAGAACTGTTTGCCCGCATGAAATTAGAAGATGATCTGTCTGAAGACTCTATGGCTGGCCGACTCATCCTTCAGTCCTCTAACATTGCATGGATTGCTGAAGGCAAAAAGGAACGTCCTGAAAAGGTAATATTATTTCCAAATCTGGATACTGACTTAATCAAATTTTTAACATAGATTATGTAAACATTTGTTGCTCTGTGATTTTTTTTGCCTTGTAAATTTAAGGAAACCTTTATGTCGTAAATATTTCCTCAGATTGCAATTGAAATAAGTTGCACATTCTTCTATTCTTCAATTTAATAATGATATTTTATAAATATATTGTGCTTGCTGTGTGCTGCAATATGGACTCAAAGTTTAGCTAGTAAAGTCAGTGTAGAAAAAAAAAAAAATTCATTTAAGTCTGTAATGTTGTTTTTATGTTTTTTTTTTTTTTAATTTTGTTTTTTTTAAACAAAAATTTTTTACTCTTTTATAAATATATTGTGCTTGCTGTGTGCTGCAATATGGACTCAAAGTTTAGCTAGTAAAGTCAGTGTAGAAAAAAAAAAAATTCATTTAAGTCTGTAATGTTGTTTTTATGTTTTTTTTTTTTAAATTTGGTATTTTTAAAACAAAAATGTTTACCCCTTGTAGGATGTAACTGTACAATTTTAGAAGAGTGTTTGATCATGATTCAATAATTGTTATTAATGTGATGTATAAATCATTTTATTTTGGAGGGAAGTGGAACATTTTTTATAAACATCCTTTTTCTATTATGGGGAAATGAATCTGACCTATAAATCTTTGCATCTAGGTGTATGAGGCTGTGATAGAAGATAAAGGAAAAAATTTCATCTTTATGCGACTGTCAAAAACTTGTGTTGAGGAACTTGGGTTGTCATGTGATCAAGAATTTAATGCGCAGGTAAAATTTGCAAATAAATGTTTCATTTACTCCCTAGCCTCCATTTAATGTAAGATTTTTAATATAAAAATTATATGGATTCATCAACAACACCCAACACCCCCCCCCAACACATTTTTGCATTAGCTGTTTCCATTTCAGATTCAGTTCCAGTTGAATAGGCTGTCAATGTGTGAAATGCATTCCGCTGTTGACAGACTACCCACATTAGATATTGTCTTTCCTGACTTGGAAAATTTACCTGATAAACTAGAACTGGCTGACACGTATGCCATTTCATTTGACTGTTATTTTTATTTAAAAAGAAAAAAAGAAGAAAAAAATTGTTTAAAAAATAATTTTGTAATAGAAAAATATGATGCCAACTCATCTGTGTTCTGTATCATAACTAACCTTTATTCCTCATTGTACATTCTTTTTATATCCCACATCACATGACCACTCATTGCCTTTCTCCAACCAACACCGTTAAGTTTAAACATTCATGAAATTATTTACATACTTGTAACATCATATACAACTCTTAACAACTCTTAAATTTAAAAAAACAAATTGTAAACCTGATTATAGCAAATTATTTTTAATAAGGTTATTTCTTTTATTTATGGCTTCCAAAGTCAATAATTAAAAAATTAAATTTTAAAGGAAACGGCTATGAAACAATTAATGATTTAGAATTTAAAAGAAAAACCACAAAAGAAAAGCAATGTTTAAATATTACAAATTTTTAATTTACTTCTCTTGTTCATTTAACAGTGTATTACAAGACTCAAATGAAAGCAAAAGGCTCAATGAGAAGCAGAAAGATGCCGTGAGGCTCATCTTGGCTGCTAAAGATTTAAAGTTGCCTCCCCTGTTAATAGTCGGCCCATTTGGCACTGGAAAAACCTTCACCATGGCCCAGGCGGCAAAACAAGTTCTTAAACAAGAGGGAACCAGAATTCTAATCTGTACTCACTCTAACAGGTAAGATTCAAAAGGAATTAAAGTTGCAAAAATTCTGAACAATTTTAGCTATTGCCTCATTTGTGCTAATGTAGTGGTAATGCTCAAAGTGTTTGGCAAATTGAGAGGATGTATTAAAATGCTTCCAATAACTTAATTTCTTTACTTTATTTCAATAAATTATTTTCCTTCTTACATTAAGAGTGTAAAATATAATAACTTTTTCAACAAGAAGTCACTAAGTTTTATAATGAGATATCAGTATATGTTATACTAAACCATTTTCTTCTCAGTGCTGCTGACTTGTACATCAAAGAGTTCTTACATGACTATGTTGAAACAGATGACCATTTAGAGGCTCGTCCACTCAGGGTCATGTACAAATTCAGGTGGATCCAGACTGTCCCTGAGGTGGTTCTAGAATACACACTGTTGGAGAGGGAGGGCCCAATGGCTGGTACTTTTAGAGCACCAACTGTTGAAGATGTCATGAAGCACAGGATCATTATTACTACACTTAGCAGTGCTAGATATGTGGTGGACCTGGATTTGCCAAAAGGTAAATTTTCATTATTTTATTACCACACTTAGCAGTGCTAGGTATGTGATTGATTAAGATTTGCCAAATGGTAAATTTCACGTTTTATTGATTTTGGAAAATGACTAAGAAAGAACCGATTTAAAAAATACCCACTAAGTGCTTGCCATGAGCCACTTGCACTTTATTTAATCTTGCAGTTAGTTAAATCCATACTTGTACAAGATATCCTACTTGTATTTTTTGCGTTTGCTAATAAATATTTTTTGCACCTTGCAATTAAGGTTTCGGAAGGCAGATTTCAATCATCATTTGTTACTTGCTTATTATTCATTGATTTTTTTTTAGAGGTTGAAATTTTATCATTTTTTTCATCTTAAAATATTTGACAAATTTTGCTTTAATGGTGATTTTATACAATAATTTTCAGATGCCTTCAGTCACATATTTATTGATGAGGCTGCACAGTCATTAGAGAGTGAAACGATCATTCCACTTTCAGTTGCTCATGAGAATACTAGGATTGTATTTGCTGGAGATCACATGCAGGCGAGTAATACATATGCCATGCATTGAAATAATTAATCAATATTGTTTTTAATAAAAACAAGAAAATATGATGTTATTTTAAGGAATTTTTAAAATTTAAATTTGACAAATTAATTTACTTGCTAAAACATTTCAATAAGGAAATCTCACCATCTATTTCTTTATTAAATGAAGGCATAATGATCATGAATTATTTAAATTAAAAGTGTTATAGAAATGTATCTAATCTATGCTTATCAGATGAGTCCTGAAGTGTACTCAGACTTTACAAGGCAGCAAGGTTTCCATACTTCATTGCTGGAGAGACTTCATGAGCTCTATCCAAAGGATTGTGTCTATATGGTAATTACTTTTTATCATTTTGCCATCAATCCCTTCTCTCCTTTTAGAAAAAAAAATCCTTTTTATATATTAAAAAATAAAAATTAATCTACTATTGCCTAACACCTATGAGCATAAATATGTTCTCCTGGCTAAGAGGGTGGGCAGAACTCTGTTTAAACTTTGCTTATGTTATTTTTATCAAAATACTTTCTATATCAATCTGTTCCAATAAATTCTATATTGATCTGTTCCAAAACTCTCTATATCCATCTGTTTTATCATTTTATCATCTGTTTCATTGTTTCATCATCTGTTCCATTGCTTCATCATCTGTTCCATTGTTTCATCATCTGTTCCAATGTTTCATCATCTGTTCCATTGTTTCATCATCTGTTCCATTGTTTCATCATCTGTTCCATTGTTTCATCATCTGTTCCAATGTTTCATCATCTGTTCCATTGTTTCATCATCTGTTCCATTGTTTCATCATCTGTTCCATTGTTTCATCATCTGTTCCATTGTTTCATCATCTGTTCCATTGTTTCATCATCTGTTCCATTGTTTCATCATCTGTTCCTTTGTTTCATCATCTGTTCCATTGTTTCATCATCTGTTCCATTGTTTCATCATCTGTTCCTTTGTTTCATCATTTGTTCCATTGTTTCATCATCTGTTCCATTGTTTCATCATCTGTTCCATTGTTTCATCATCTGTTCCATTGTTTTATCATCTGTTCCATTGTTTCATCATCTGTTCCATTGTTTCATCATCTGTTACATTGTTTCATCATCTAAACTTGAGGTTGTGTAAGCCTTGCATGTCGTGGCGCATGAGTTTAGAAAGCCATGCTGACCTTTTAAGTCTTGTAATTGTTTAATGAATATATAAGGATACATGTTAAAAGGAAAAAATGAATTAAACAAATTTAGTCCATGACTCAGAAAGGGACAAGTATAAAGCCTTGTTTATGAATGTTAGTTCTTTATTTTGAATTCTAAAGAGGAAAAAAAAATAAGAAGAAAAGATAAATGGTATCAAAGTCCGTGTGTACATGATTGGCTTCTGTCAACAGGTGATGCTTTGTGAAAACTACAGAGCTCATGCAGCCATTGTTGACTTCACCTCGGAACTGTTCTATGACAATAAACTCATCTCTAGTGGTAACATTGTGGCACATGATCAGTTCTACCCACTCACCTTCTATGCAGCAAAGGGAGAAGAAATTCAGCATGAGAACAGCACTGGTTTCTACAATATGTCAGAGGTATAAATCTAATTTTGTGTGAACTTTTCTTTTGAAATTTCATGTCAACGCTCTTTTACAATATTTACCCTAAAGAGCTGGAATTTTATTTGTTTCATTTGAATATTTTCTGTCGTCAGGTTTATGAAATTGTAGAAAGAGTTGATGAATTAAAGAAGAAATGGCCAGAGGCATGGGGAGCATTTGACAACAATGGTATCAGCATTGTTGCTCCATATTCAGATCAGGTTAGCAAGTGTTTGATAAATTTATCATATGTTCTGATAATGCACTAATGCCATTATTTTATGTTTTTACACTATTTATTTAATTATTAAACTGTTATTCAGGTTCATGTTCATGTATCAGTTTATGACACAATTTCTGCCCATCTCTTAGTCTTGATAATTTAAGCCAAAACAAAGAGAAGGTAATAAAATATGTACATCTAATATGTCAATATCATCATTCAGATCCAGTGGTTTTATAGGCATGTCCCTTCGGTCTGCGGACATAGTGAAGAATTGACAAACTCTCCACAGCTATTCTTTGTTTGTTGATGGGGTGTTGGTGTAGTCTGGTATTTTTGTAAGAAGTTTAGGCGTATATCTTGATGTGCTGAGCAGTGGAAGAGGTGATGTGTTTCTGTTTGCAGAAGGGGCACATTGGTGTTTTAGCATAATGCGGTTAAGGTGGGAATTAAATTGTTGTGTCCTGTGCACAGATGAAAGATTGTGATCTGTTAAATGTCTTTGGAGGCAGTTTATTGGATCTTTAGAGACTGGGCTGGGTCTTTGTGTGAAAAACACACTTCCTGTTAAGTTCATAGCCCATCCATTTAACCACCTTTCTTTTTTGTTTACTCTGATAGTGTACTTTGCAGTGTTGAGTGATGTAGATATGTTTGGCTGTTCATTTGATGCTCTCTGTTTTGCCAGTTTGTCTGCTCTTTCATTTCCTGGTATATTGTGTTCTGGTATCCATCATTGTAAGATTAGCTTGACTGCGCATGTTTAGAGCAGTGCTGTCCAACCCTCTCTGGCCAGTGAGCTGATTTTAAATGGCGTGCCACAGCTTGAGAAATTTTTATGATGTGTGTAAAATATAAAACAATATAGGTGAACAAATTTTCAAACCACATTCATTGATTTAATATTGTTGAGAAATTGCATGAGAGCACAGGAGAAGTTGTAACAGGGAAAAGGTGGGGACGTCACAAAAGCTAAGGAGTGATATGACTTGACCGTTAGCAGTAATTTATGCTGAGCAACCATCTGAGAACCTGGGGGACATAAATATATCAGATCAGGTACAATCCTCTCCTTTCTGTTTCTTGTACAGGGGGAGCATAGCGGGGTATCAGCTTTGATAAGGATGAATAAGGAAACCAAAAGTAACTTCATGCGTCAAGCTATTTGGTCATTGTAAAAATGTCCATTCCACTGCCAATGGGACTAATTAAGATGGGATAGGTGAGCACCGCAAGTTGACTTAAGTGCTTTGAGGGATGATAATATAATGACAGGACAGTCTTCAGGTCAGAGTAATCGAGATGGGAGCTGGGGTGCTTAAGGTGTCACCAGTGAATGACTACGGTTGGCAGTGTGAACCATTATAATATGTTATTTAAGAAGGTAGTCTAGCCAGGTATGGAAGAATGGATCCATCCTGTATTGTTGTGACATTGGAGGCAAGCACCTAGTATTCAGAGATCTGATTATGAGATGTTCAAGGAGTAAATATCAGGAAACAAGCTGTGTTTGTTTTAGCCAGTGCTATTCAATCATGGATGCATTGTGAGAGACAGTAGGAACGATTCTTGAAATTTAACCCCCAAAAAGATAAATCTGGGTGATGTATGTATTTTCTGATAAATTATAACCACTACACTACAGACATTTTGTAACAAAATTTTGACCATGTTTTTGAAAGCACCGTACATCAGTGAAACTGGATTCTCTGTAATGACCGACATCAAGTCCAAAAAAAATATAACAGTTTGACTGGTGAACATTTGGAAAATTGAATGAGGGCAGGTGGCTACTAATGAATACTACCTCAAATTAAGACAATTGCAAATCTGATTCAAAGCAAAATATATCATTAAAAAGGGCTACACTCTTAAAAAGCTTTATTTATATTTTTAATGAGCCAATAATGCTATGTGATATATGACTCTTTATGTATAAGGTAAGAAATGTTAAAAGTTTTCTCAAGTGTATAAAAATAAATATTTATTTTTGAGATGTCATGTTCCCATGTAGTCAGAAAGGTTGGACAGCACTGGTTTAGAGGAAGGTGATTATATTCAGAAGTAATGATTTTACTGTTGGCTGTGAGATCTTGATGCTCAGTTTCCTGAAGAATTGATTTGCAATTGGAGGGGATAACAAGATTACTTAGTTTGTAGATGGTATAATGATGCTTTGTGTCCGCTCCATAATTTCTGCAGATAGCTCCACAGGGGTTTCAGAGTTCATCAAATTTTCAGTCTGGTTACTCTATTCATAAGTCATAGCCTGCATGTAGGGCTCCTTTGAAAGCTGACAAATCTGTGTATATTTGGATTATATCCTCTGGGTAGGATGGTATGGCTTTTTCTGCAGCTATCATTGTATGTAATGGCTCTGTACTTTTCTTTTGTATCTTTTACATTAGGTCTGTTTTGATGTAAGTTGTTTGTAGATCTTGGTTTGGGGGTGGGTCTTTAAGTATGATTGGCAATTCTTGGATGTTGTTTGACTAGCTTTCTGTACCTTTTAACCATCTCAATACCTGCTGCCTCTCTTCTAAGATTTAGTGGCTCAATAATAGTATGTCTTTCACATGCTGCTGTTTGGGTAGATCTTTGACCTTCCAATATAAAATGACCATCTTTATGTAGGTCTAATTTTCCTGTTGACTGTGGTCATTTATTTATTTTGGCTATTTTCGCTTTTGCTATTGCGATTTAGAATTATTTTATTTTCCATAGTTGGATGATTTTCTTTATTTTTTCTGTCAGAATCCCTTTTTTTATTGCTTGTTCTGTATTTTTGTTCTAAACTAATATGTGAAGTTTTTCTTTGTGACTATTCTAAATTTTGTTAGAAATAAATTGTTTTTAAAATAACAATCTAGTTTTCTTTGTAGGGTAAAAGCTTAAATAAATGACTTTTTTAAATCTGTAGGTTGCAAGAATCAGAGCAGAATTAAGGAAACGTAAACTTTTCAATGTCAATGTAGAAAGAGTTCTTAATGTACAGGGTAAGTTGAATATGTATATGTTTACAAAATCTGTCAAAACTATTCACCATAAATGGGACTACGGCCCCATTAGAGGCATCTGGCCTGCACCATCTTCACTGTTAACTTGGACTGATCCATCACCTTTAGTCTTTCCAGACTATTTGAATGATACATTTGTTTCTCTTCTAGGCAAACAATACAGAGTCATCATGCTTTCAATTACTAGGACAAGACTCACTTGTCGCTCAGACCCTAACATGGAGGAATATTTAGATTTTGGTTTTCTCTCCAACATCAAGCTCCTCAACACTGCCATCACCAGAGCTCAGTCCCTGGTGGTAGTTGTTGGTGATCCTGTCTCTGTATGTTTGGTGGGAAAGTGCAGGTAAGTGTCTTCCATAGAACACATTAAAATTCTGTTTCCATATTTATTGTTCAAAATAAGGTCACAGCTAATTTTTCCCCTTCCATGTTAGTTTTAGAATTAAGCTGGGTTGAAAAACCCCTCTTCAAACTTTGGTACAAAGTAAATTTGTTAAAAATAAATATTTACTTTTTCCTGTAAAAAGATAAATAATGCACCTTTCATTTTCCTACATAAAGCCTTTTGATGTGTTATGCTTGATTGTGGTGCATAGCATTCTAACTACATGACAGCTTTGTTTCAGGCTACTAACATTCTGGCCAAAGTGTTGAACTTATAGTTAAGGATAAATATTAATGTTTAAATTGGCTTACTTTAAAATAGATTAAAAGCATTATAAGATGCTACTATTAAACAAACCAATCTAGAATCTTTTGAACTTGTTGCAGAGTGATTTCTCCTCATACGGTTTCTGAATTTAATAAGAACAATATTATGATAGTTATAACAGTGATTTTGATAATGGGAGTAAGCTTGTGGGCACTTTGTAAATCTTTTAAAAATCCAACAAACAATTGTACCGTAGTATTTTATTTTTTTTGTTTCACAGTACTGAAGTAATCTTATTGTTTTATATTAGGAAAATCTGGGAGTATTTTCTTGAGATTTGTCACTACAATGAGAGTTTACATGGAATCTCATGGGTTCCTTTGAGAGAACAGCTGGACCGAGCAGAGCTGACCAAATCTTTTGTTCTTAACCCCCTGGCCCCAGAGTTTGTGCCCAGCCGAATGTATCATAACCACCATACTGCTCCACAAGACCATAGTGTCTTCTATCCTGGTGTTCATATGGGAGGCTGGCCAAGTTACCCTGGCATCATGCCAGGTCAGCCTTTCCCACAGGTCAGTAAATAGTGACCTTATCTGCACATATTAAAGATGGAGCAAACAAATATTTTTTTTTATTATTCATTTCATGTAAAAATTGAATCTTTTTCAGATTTTTTTAAATTAGATCTAAATTAGAAGTTGAACAAAAAATTTGCCCTCCTGCTTAGGCAAAGTGGCATAACTCCATATTTAAATGTATATCTTATTTAAAAAATAAGTAAATAAAATATATACGTAATAATATAAATATAATATATAACAAAACAAGCGATTTCATTATTTAAATTTTTATTAAATATAAAAATGAATGAAATTTTATAACCACTATAAAAAATAAGGTTCTTAGGAGAATAACCTTTTAATTACGATATCTGAATTTGGCTATCCCTGCCTTTAAAAAAAATTCACAACTGCATTTAAAAAAATTCAGTCAGTCACTGTAGCGCCCCCGCTAACACATCAGTATATAATAATATAACAGTACTGATTTTAAAGTTTGTTTCAGATATATCTTCAACTTTAAATTCATTCCTATTAGTTTGTACATTAATAAATTCTGCATCAATATTTTTTATTGTCCCATCATCTAAACTTGCTAGTCTAGTCTTCAATGAATAAGCTTGGACAGCCATGCTGAACTTTTTTTTGAGCCCCATAACTTTTTTTAAGGAAGAAGATAGAAACATAAACATTTCAATATAGAGCAATCGTGAATGCAGCAGTATATTTATGTTATGTTAGTTTAGTTACTAGGTGGTCTTAAAAAGCGCCATATGTGACTATTCACTTGCGATGCCACCACCGGGCATTGTAGGCAGGGGAGGGAATTTGGGAGGCAAAAGTGGCCGCTCATGATAGGAGATGTTTCAGTACAATAATTATTGAGATTCATAAATAATGAGTTGAGTTGATAGGTACAATTATGTTTCCTACTTCTAGTATGAAGTTCCAAATTTTACTGAATTATGATTTCTCATGACATAATAAACTGTAAATGTAATTAATATTAGTTTTCATATTCACCTAACAGATGTTCCCGCAGATGTACCAGCAGCCCATGTATTTCCCATACAATGCCGGCTTGGTTCCAACCATGTATTACCCACAGGCCTTTGGGAGAGGCATACTTCAAAACCGTCAGATGTTTGGGAGATTTATCCCACCAGGAGGATTTCAGTATACCAGAGGTGGGGGTCCTGTGAGAGAAGGTGTCCCTCGTACTGTTGAGATGCCAGGGGGAAGAGGTATAAGACACCACAGGGGGAGTCGGCACATGTACTACAGTCCTCCCAGAGTTCAATCGTTCACAGGATTACCAGGATTCTCTCCCATGATGCAGGCACAACAACCCGCACCCGGAGGTTATTTCTACCATGTTCCAGATGATCCCAGAGCCATTGCTTTTGCATCTGCTCAACCCTCAATGCATCCCTACCTGGCCCCAGCACCACAGTTTCCCACACATCCACTTCGACCATCTACAATGGGTGCCTACAGTGGGCTGCCTCACCATCAGGGTGGTTTCCACCCTCTTCATCCACAAGCTCATCCACACGGGTCATCCTCACCTCTAAATACTGGAATGTTATTCTATCATGATGCCCGGATGGCTCGAGATCGTTCTGACACAGGGGATAGCACAGGCAGTCCCCGGCTTTCAGATTCACCAAGCTCAGGAATTCAGTTATTGCCCAATGTTAAGCATGTACCTGCACATCTTTTGGGGAAACCTGGAGAAACATCACCTGAACAGCCTAACAGTAATCCTAGCAGCCCACCTATAAATATGCCTATTGGATCTCAGCTGAGAGACGAAAGGGCGGCAGCTTTATCTCATCGACCATACAGCCCTGCTAATTATGTCAGAGAAAGGTCTGGGTCAGGGGATATAAATCTTGGAAGATCATATAGTCCTGCTAATTTCATGAGAGAACGTACAGCGTCAGGAGATGACTTGACATCAAGACGCTCGTACAGTCCTGCTATCTACTCCCACGATGAACGAAGAAGCTCTGGAGATGACATGAGATCCAGTCATGAAAGGTCCATGTCTATATCACCTCCCTTAGTTCCACCCAACCCTTTGCCGGTCAGCACCTTGATGAGGCAACCGGAACAGAGGAACGGAGGAGGCACCAATGGAACATCTAGACTGAATAATCGTAGACAGAAGCCTAACTTGATGTTGCGAACTGGCTTCAGTCGGCAATACAGTGATGACCTGCCGACCCCAACAGTAATTACTAATATGATTCAGATGATCGATGATAATATTGATGAAGGCTCAGCAGAAGATGAATCTTCCCTGTCTCTTGGTGGCGGAGACAGGAGAAATAACTTGAGACTTAAAATGTCAGTTGCTCAGAGGCTCCAACACATGCACGCCACAGAGAGCAGTGAAGCCTCCTCTTCGTCTACCCCTCCCTCCACAGAGGACTCTCACCCTTCATATGCTAGCATGGTTAGCAGGGCACAGAGACAAGGTATAACAGCAGAAGAAGCCGCCCAACTTGAAATACAGACACCGCGAACCCCGAAAGGATTTATTACTCCTGGAGCTGAAGTAGAAGTGGATCCCTTTGGTATTCTCAAGTCACTGAATATTGGAGGAACCCATCAATGAAGGGGCATGTAGTTTGAATATCTTCAGTTTTAGTAATAAATTTGATTAGCTTGAGTTGTCTCAGAATAGCAGCATCTAAATCATACTAAATGAGTTTTCCTTTTCAGAGATTCTTTGATATTCGGATAATGAATGCAGCAAAAGAACATGACACCAATTCATTAATTCCCCTTTTCAAGCCTAAATGCTGTTACCTTAATAATTTTGATCACCTGCAAATATATCTTATCTTGGAAAGCATTAGCAGGTGTTCTTGCAATTCAAAAAAATTGTTTTAGTATTGAGTGTCATACCATTCAATTTTGAATATTATATTTTCCCAACTTTTTAAAATCAACTCTTGTTAAATGTTGTAAGCATGTTTTCTTTGTGATTAATGTGGCATTTTTTTAAACAGTAAACTGGGGGTAATACATAAAACTATAAGTCAGCATGCGATTTAGTGTTGAGCCTATTGGCTTTTCCATTGCTGGCAGAATATTATTTTAACATGGAATGAAACCTATTTATCATGAAATCTTGCAGATGTACCTACACAAAACTGTAATCTTAGCTTAGATAATTTTTTATTTGTTTCAGGATTATTTGCTGTAATAAGTGTGATTAATGTATATAATTTTTGGTTGTACATTTTACTTTGAAGCTGCAATGATTAGAAAAAGTTACTCTATGGTAGAAAATAATTCAGTCTCAAGTCTAGTGTTGAAAAAATGTCGATGTTACACAACCACTATATATGGGTCTCTACGATGTGCCTTGTAAGCTGATCCTCTGCAATTCATAAATCATTATTACTTCAGAAAACATTAAACAGACTTCTCAAAGTCTTAAGATCTATTCACACACTCCACCTCTCCCATCTTGTATGCTGTTTTGTTAAAATTATTTTATTATCCTTTAAATGGGTCAAGAAATAGTCAATGCTGTAAATCAGTTTAAGATAGATCAGTGATCAGTCATATTTTTCACAACATATTTCAAAATAGCCTTATACTTATAAACTATCAGTAAACTATCAGTGCTTCATCAATTAATAAATTCAATACCTACTTCTCCCAAACAGTAATATTCATGTCCTTATGTTAAAAAAAAGTGTCCATTTTAATGATATTTTGAATTTTTTAAGGTAATATTTTAAAAATTATATTGTGTGTTCAAACTTATATTTTATATTGTTTTCTCTTGTAATTGTTATCCTCACCCCTTAAGCTTTTCTTCTTGTAAATATCGTAATGTAACCTACAATTAAAATTTTGTCTTTCAGAGTGCATGAAAAAAAATCTATGTCTTTTGATAAATAAAAAATAAGCTAACTGTTTTTGAAATCTATTACAAAGTACTATTCTGAGTATTCTGCATCTGATTTTTTAAAAACGAAATGATGCACCCAAATATTAGTTAATGACATATATATAATTATAACTTTGCTACTTGATCATTGTTTTCCAAAAGAAGCACAAAATACTTGTAAAGTATAAATTGTATCAATTAGCTATCTGATGCACTTGTATTTCTGATCCTCAGAAGCTCACCATAAATGGAATGTAACTGCTTTTTTGTTTAGTTTTCGAATGCCTTATTAAGTAAATATTATATATATCAGGTTGAAAAACTAAAAAAGATTTTCATGGACTTTTGCTAAAAGATATATTATTAGTGTTAGTCATAGGTTTTTGAATTTGAAACAAGCACAATTTTGCCTGCACTCTGTCTAAACTCAGAGGTGTTTTGATGACATTGCAATCTAAGAATTCTGTTTAGTCATTTTACATCACATTTGCCCAGGCCCAGGAAATGAGGTGAGCTAGTCAATTGCTACTTAAAGAATCCATATATATATAAATATAGTTTTTTAAAATATTTTTCTCGTATTATTGAAATGCTCATCAAATACTTGTAGATACCCAGTATGTTTTTTGGCTGTGGACAAAAGAATTTTCTGATTATCTTTGTTTATCTTACAGAGTTCAATTTTATTTTTAATTTTTACAGATATTTTTTTATATAAGTTCAGTTGGACTCCTGAAGTGTAAAAAAAAAATTCTTTAAATAATCACTTATACATTGGGGGGAACACTTGTGTTCTGGCAAGTCTCTATTGTAAAAAAATGAGGACTGAGCCGGGTGCAGATTTTTTTACACCTAGTATGCATATTTGGAGACAATACCCAGAGGGTCTGGGTGTTCCAAAAAATTGATTCTTATTTTCTATAAGGAATTCCACCCAATGGTGAGACATGAAAATTGCAAGAATAGAATCAGTAGAAATAAAAAAGGCCTCAAAGTTGAAGGCTTCAAAACAACAGCTCAATAATATCATAAACCTTTTTTTAGTGACAAAACCCTGTTTTATAACATTTGCCAAGTTGTGACAACCCACAACTAGAATTATACCTTGACATTAATGAACAGGTGTTGAGAAGAAGGGGAAGAGCTATTTTGTAGATAAAAAGGTGCTGGTACTTTAATTTTTCATGAGGGTGGAGTGAAACAGAAATAATGGCTAAGAATAAGGGTGGAGGCTTCTGGTGTGTTATAGTTCTGTGTGGAAGCTAACAAACTTTTAAGTTTAGGCAGAAGAAAATGAAATAAAGAAAATTTGTTAAAATATATTAAAATAAAAAATGCATATAGATGAAACACCCCCTCAAATTGGTTGGTAGCAGATGTCATTTTTCTGATACCAAGGTATGCATATTAATATTAATTTAATAATATTTATGCCATCTTCATGGGGCGATATCATCCTAGCCTTCTTGCAGTTAAGCCAATTGCTTTATTTATTAAATGAGTGTTAAATGACGCTACCATTATTAAATTTTAGGACAAAATTTAGAAATGATCCACTCACACAGGCATACACAAAAACTTTGGCTTCTCAGTCATCCAGGTATCTGGGTTAGTACCCGGCTCATTCCTAGTAAAAACACCATACTAGAGTGAATTGGGAGTTTACAATTTGACAATTATGTGTATTGAAATAGCTCTAGTTATAATTTCTACTTCTAGGTTCATGTGCACAACAGAAATTTGTGCTTTGGTTTTATTACTTCTCTTTACCATAATAAAAAAACACAGGTGTGGTTGTGTTTCATGAAATATGCCTCAACTTATGGCACTTGTTCGGTATGTTTTAATCACATTTGAAATTACACATTTTTTTAACAAACATGAAGAATTTATTGTAAATGAGAATTAATTTGTTGGTTGTTTGACAATATTATTCTTAGCTCGAATTTGACATTTTTCTACTGGAAAATACCAGCGAGCTGGCAAGAAGAGTTTTTCTATTTGTGATAGTTAATTTTTAAAATAAATCTTTTAAAAAAAATTATATCTAAGCAGATGTATAGCTAGACATATTTGGGTCTTTTATTTCGTTGAGCATTTTATTAATTAATTTTAAAGACTTCAAAGCATTTTGCATTCTTCTCTGAAAGAACACCTCGGGTAAAGTTAATAGGTCAATGTATTTAATAAGTTGATGAACTTATTTTTGACTATTTTGAGACTAGTCATCTCTGTTAACAACTGTTAAAAATTTAAAAATTTGCTCAATGCATGGCACATTGTCTTCTACTATACTTAAAAAAAAAAGGAAAGACATTTTGATTAGAGGAGTCCATATATTCATTATTACTTTTTGTAACATTTTGGATGATGATGCTTTCCATGGAAAATGGAAGGCACAATAATTTCTGTGCATTTTGCTTCGCTGGATATTACTCATTAGCTTTTCATGAGATTAAATTAATGAAATATTCTGCAAGCAGTTGTGTTATTTCTAATAACACTCTATTAATGGCTCTGTTTTATATACAGTTACTGCCTCAAGGAACTGAAATTATTTAAAAATAAAATTTCAAAACAACTATTTCCCATTAAGTCTAAGACTTTTGTTATACCGCACCGGTAATAAAAATAGCAACATGTTATTGTTACGTTTTTATTACTTTGGAGTTAAGGATAGAGTGAACTAGTAAATGATTCGAATTAAAAAAAAACATCTTCAAGACTTGAGTTGATTGCTATTAGAATGTACAGATTAATTGAAAAGACTTTTGAAAATGATCCTTTGCATCATTTTGATTTTTACATTTGTACCATAAATGTTGTTCATAAGCAAACAAAATGTATAAGTACATGGAAAACATTTCTTTTTGTTTCAGTTGTTGATCACCATTACATCTGTATAAAACTTGTTGATCTTTTGTAGGCTTGGGGTATGGGTAATCAAATAGTCTGATTTTATATTTATCATTTATTTTTAACTTTACCCTTTCATGTTTGAATTATGATGAAGACAGTGCCTTAGGTGTGGCAGCCATTTTCCCTTTCTATTCGTGGACATTTTTTCATTCACTGGGGCTCAATGGATAATTTAACGTTTAACGTACCGGATAATTTTGTGTTTTTTAAAACACTTATTTGTAAGTTAAGATCTTAAACATCCGTTTTTGGAATATCCTCATCAGAGAAATTGAATTAAAAATAAGGCATTTTTGGTTAAAATTATTTCTTTTTATTTTTCTCAAATTACATGTATGCTTTTAAAATTTAAGACAAATGCAATGAATGTCCTTAAGCCACTGAATGAAATTTTGTCTGCTAGTGGTTAGGAAGAAAATGTGAAGATTGCTACACCGAGCACTGTGAAGCGCATGGATCTTATATCACATCTTAAAATTTTTTATTTTAAACTAATTTCCCAATTACATCATTTATGAATTTTTGTTGAATATAGATTTATTAGTACCGGTAGGCAGGTTTGACATGTTGTATACAGCAGTATGTACTCACCATACCTTAGTACCTTTAGTTGTAGCAGTAGTGATTGTGGTCTTTGGTTTAACTTTGCTTCTTTATAAAAATAATATTTAATCTGCTTAGTAATAAACTCACTGTTGTAGCCATAAATACTGTTAATTACTTCTTTCTCCATTTGAAAACTTGAAATGTTTTTTAAAACGTTCAATAGGTATCTTGATCCTTTGGAAGAGAAATCTCTTACAATAGGCATCAGGGCCCTTTGGAGAGAAATCTATACCTTTAAACAAAGTATTTTCATGATTTTGCTAAGTGGTTCCTAGTACTGCAAGTAAGAATCTAGCTGTTGATCACCCGTGTCTATCATATATGAACTTATTAAGACTTTTGTCTTACTTTTTCTATACCAGTTGACTGGCTTTTTAGAAATATTATCGAAACAAGTACCCGTAATTTATAAAAATTAGCCATCTAAAATGCTGTTTTCTTTCACCTAGTACTAGTCTTACTCCCAGTGGCGTAGCTGGGGGGGGGTTGCATACCGCACCGGTTAACGCCATCTTGGGGGGGGGGGGAGGGTGACACCAAATTGAAAAATTACATATTTACAGATGGATACCGATCGCATATAAATTTTACAGGTAACCAATCAAAAGGCATGTATACCGCACCGGTTAACGCCATCTTGGGGGGGGGGGAGGGTGACACCAAATTGAAAAATTACATATTTACAGATGGATACCGATCGCATATAAATTTTACAGGTAACCAATCAAAAGGCATGCTTTATTGCAAGTTCAAGGTTGATGCATCAGAAATGAGGTGACCCTATAATTAGGTAAGAAAAACACCGCTTTGACCATGACTCAATGCCGATTGAAGTGTTCAGTAACTTTCTTAAGAGACCCTCTTGCAAAATGTTACATCTTTTGGTACTCTTGAGAGAATATTTTCCTTCTTTGCTAGGTCCACTAATTGATGGGATGTTTAAATTGAACACACTGGAATGTCAGTGAAACGACTGTCAACATTACATTAGAGTGCTCATCATACTGCTGTTAAAACAGTGAAAGATAAGTTTGATGAATTTGTGGCGACGATTGAAGCTCTATACGATCCGCTTGAAAATTTGGATACAAGAGCACAAGGGCTTTTACATGGTGATTTCACGTTTTTCTGCTACCTTAACTTTTGTGCTGATATACTTGAGTTTTAATCTTCGCATGATTCTTATAAAGCAGTATCTGCAGACAAAAGGCTTTACTCTTGACAAAGTGGTAACCAACCTAGAGGCCTTAAGATTGATTCTGCACGAAAAGTGCTGCCACTTCGTGGAACATGCTATTGAAAAGGCACTTTTAAAATAAGACCAATATGAAATTTCGTTAGAAGATTAAAGTTTAAGAAGAGAATGACAGGAGAACAATTCATAGATGCTGCACTCTCTCTGCCAAAATCAAACAGTTTGGAGATGCTAGAGTGTATTGATCGCTTTCATTCTGAAATCCAGATCAGATCATCAATGATCAAGGATGTAGCAGATATGTTTGGAGTTATTTAACCCAAGACTCAACTTACTATCAGCAAGTCAAGTCAAGTCAAGCCTTCAAACCCCTAGTGCATAATTTCCTCATCACCACCAGTAACAGAAACATTGCAAATCCCATCTACATGCATAGGAGCCAAAATGATCAATAAATTGATCGTGGGCCCTTAAGATATAGAAGAAGAGAAGAAGAGTTGTTGGTGTCTGTTCCAAAATTAACCACTTTCTGTGATGACTTATAAGAAAATGAACTTTTAGAAGAAATACCAAGGCTTAGAAGGCACCTAAAGCCAGTTAAACTTGAATTTCACGTTTTGGACTGGTCAGTATTCGATCTTTTGAAATTCATAGCTGAATGGGACTTCCTGGAACCTCTTCCAATGCTCTCGCTAAGCCTTCAATTATTTCTTACGATCTGTGTGTCTGTGGATTCATGTGACCGGAACTTTTTAAAACTAAGACTATCGAGAACTATTTATGATCCACCATGGGACAGTCAAGGCTTTCTTATCTGGCTCTGCTACCAATTTAAAGTAATAAGGATATTGCTTTGGATCAAGTCATTGACAGGTTTGCAGCTTTGAAGACAAGGAAAAGAGAATTTTAAATAAATTTAATTTAATGTAAAATAACTATAAACGTAACATTGTTACAGTTTTTAAATACATTTATCTCCTAACCTTTAATTAATTTGTTATTTTTATTGTTATACCGTGTACTTATTTTAGAAAGAATAAATGGATTCTGGACGTAGGAGGGGGGTTGACACCATGGGTTTGCCGCACCAGGTGACACCAACCCTAACTATGCCACTGCTTACTCCTTGGAACAGCCAAAGTATTTCCAGCCAAATATTGAAAATAAACTTAGACTTAGAGGATATTAAAACTTACTGTATTACAAACAACTAAAGAGTCTACCAAAAAAAAAGGGAAAAACGGAAATATTTATAACAGGTTGGGCAAAAACCTGAAAAAAAAAAAAGATGCAACAAAAAGAAAGGCAAAATCAAAAAGCCCATATCAAAGAACAGTAATACTTTACTAGTACAAAGAAACAAATAAAACTAAAAATCAAAGTATTTCCAGCCAAATATGGAAAAAAAACTTAGACTTAGAGGATATTAAAACTTACTGTATTACAAAAAACTAAAGAGTCTACCAAAAAAAAAGGGAAAAACGGAAATATTTATAACAGGTTGGGCAAAAACCTGAAAAAAAAAAAAGATGCAACAAAAAGAAAGGCAAAATCAACAGGCCCTTGTCAGTGAACAGTAATACTTTACTAGTACAAAGTAACAAATAAAACTAAAAATTACCTAGTCTGACTAGTCTCTTCCCTTTTATCAATATTATCATACAAAAAAAAATAAAATTGAAAATGGCGGGGGCAATGATGTAAAGTAAAACTAAATTCATAGCTTCACTTATTTATTTTAAAAGATAGAACGAAAATAATGAGTAATGAGTTAAGTAGTGTTTTAACATTTTAAGTTTTATTTTAGGAAAGTAAGCTTACATTTTTTTTACATTCATTTTCATTGTAACTTACTATAAATTATAGTATAATACAGTCAGTTTATCAGTTTATCATGGCAATCAGAGGGGGGTAATGATAACTGTCACCCATTGTTAATTAATTTATTATCGGTCGCAACAATCAATTACAATCATTCAATATCAGTGATGAGTGATACCGATACATCATACTACTTGATACCACCACCGGCACCGGGGCCCTATTTAATATTTAAATTACAACATATTTTTTTCATATTCAAATTTTATTTCTTTCCGAATTAGTTACTTGCTGTTTATTACTGTTTATGATTATGGCCTATTTATTTCTGAGCAAAATAAATTGAAATAACGTTGAAGCATATTTATTAAGTTGAATAAATATATTAAAAGAAATAATATCCTAGTCCTAGTAGTAACTTCGGTTTTAATAACAGCAGTACCGGAAACAGCTGTTAGGAAAGGATTTTCCCGTTATATTTTCCCCATAGTTCCAAGTGTTTCTGCCAACGTGGCATGACTACGCATGTACGGAAGTCAATATTCAGCTTCCCGTACGTGGCACAGAGTCCGTGGAATTTATATTATATTTGTCTGATGAATAAGATGATTTAAGTCTTATAAAAGTAAGTTGGATAGGAAAGTAAGACTGATATGAAAGGATCACTCAAATGCACGAATCAGAAATATTTGTGTTAATCTTGACCGGCATATTAATAGTATCTAAACTAAGAAATTGTAGTGTTGACAGTAAAAAAAAAAATGTTGTGTAGTACATAGTATAGTCATAGTAGTGGTATTACTAGTATTAGAATTTGTAGGAGGTTTGTCGAGTAGGCCAAAAAGTATCTAGTAAGGCATATTCATCCTAGGTAACCAATTTTGTATATTTAAGATTTGGAATGGGAAAAGAGCTTATCTGACTGGGAATGAATCTAGAATGTCGAATTAGAGAATTACGAAGTTAACTAAGATAAATCATATTCGCTGTTGGCTGTTGGAGGCTAGTCCTGGTTGTATAAAAAGTTAAAAAAAGTAAATAGATTAACTATTAACTAAGCATGTTGATATTGATATAATATTTAAATAACTATCATTAGGCTTATGCTACTTGAATTTCAGTGCCTAATCAAAATACTTCTATATGCTTACGATGAACATCATGGGAATGTTAAAAACAATATATAATTTATTCAAGTGAAACAGCTGATTTTGATTTAGCGGTATGGCCAGCAGTGTGTTCCACAATTTAAAGGGCATAGGTCACAGTTGGTTCACCCAAGTCAACTTCCATCTATAGCGCTGTATTCAATAGATTTTGATTTTTATGTTTGTGTTCAAGTAATGCAAGTTTTTGTTTTCTTATTTTCTATTTTTCAAAAGGTAGTGTCTACATGTCCGGCGCGCCGGACGTATATCTCCCGCACTATTTGTCCGGCGACCTAGTCACATGACCGCCGTAACAAAGTGATAAGAGATATCCTGTCGGTCAGCCTTGTCACGTGACTGCGAATGATTTAAAACTATTGTTAATTTTAAAATCTATTTCTCTACCAAGTAATGTACTGAGTATCTTGAATGCAAATAATAGAAAAAGTCTTAAGTGAAAGTGGCTTGTAAACATTTTTGTTTAGTTTGTTATTTGAGTTTGTGCACCAGTAATCCATAAAATAAATTAGGGGCCTGTGTGGAGTAGGCAACCAATAAAAGTAAAAGATTTCATTTTAAATTGTTACAAAATATTTAAAAACTTCTCATGAAACTACTGCTGCTGATGAATATGATAATATAAATATAGTATAAAATATTTTACATTAAAATGGGAGTAAAAAAAACGATCCTATCCCCGGTATTGATCCTCAAATCATAATATCGTCAAGCGACCACTCTACCACTAGACCAAACAAGATCTTCCAAACAGTACTTCGTTCGGAATTATAAAAATACTAGCCGTCCGGCGGTATGTGCGGACGTATATCTTGCGCACTATTTGTCCGGCGCGCAGGACGTGTAGACACTTCGTTTTCAAAAAGGGGGAAGGGGTCTTCCATCACCAGAGCCAGAAGATTGCTTTTTTTCTTATTTTAGTATTGGAAGTGGGAGGAAAATTATGGTGAAATGATAGAAATCATCAGCACTTTACCATAACAAATATTTTGAAATTTCAACTTTTGCACATGACTAATAAATTAATTAAAGCTTTCCCTGATCAATGTTTTAATAGCGTTTGCAAACTCTTACAAATG